CAGATATTCATTTATTTATTTATTTATTTATTTATTATTATACATCCAGCAGGCCCTAGAACCCAATTACAGGTGTACATAATTACAAATTAAGTGATTACAAGTGATTATAAAAAAGTTATACAAAATATCAGCTAGGAACTGAGTTAAGAATAACACATTTGAACTGTGCAAATGAAAAAAAGAAAATATCGACAGTAGAGATATTGTTTACACTTCTAGACATTGTTGTTATAGGAGAGTGGAAATTGTGTATTGTGTTAGGTACAGGTAAGTAAAATGTATTACAAGCACGTGAAGAAGCTCGAGGAACATTGAACATCATTTGTGATAGGATAGTAGAGGAATCTATTTGATTGTATAATTTTGTGAATGAAGCATAAGTCTCTTATTTCACGATGTTTTTTAAGTGATATCAAATTGAACTCACTAAGGAGTAGGTCATAGTTATAGCCTCTAACAGGATAATTACCATGCCTTTTATAAAGGGCAAATTTCAAAAATTTCCTCTGAACATTCTCAATAGCTGAAATATATTTACCATAAGACGGATTCCAAACTACACTACATTAATCAAGCTTACTTCTGACTATCGTTAGATATAATATGCTTTTCAGAGATTCAAATGATTTGGAGTCTTTACAGTTCCGTATCAGAAAACCTAAAATTGAAGCTGAAATTATATGACCAATGTGATTTGAAAACGTAAGTTTTTGATCAAATAAGACTCCTAAGTCTTTCGATTCAGTGACACGCACTAGAATATTGTCATCAAGCTTATAGTTAAAGGTGACTGGAACAACTTTTCGAGTGAATGTCATAACTTTACATTTTTTAATATTCAACTGAAGTTTGTTGTGGAAGCACCAATGACTTAGGGGATAGGATATGATCAGCAATATCGTTTATGAAAATTAGAAAAAGTAAAGGTCCAAGATCTGATCCTTGAGGGACACCAGAGGATGCCGTAAAGCAGGAAAATTTGATTCCATCGCACTCAACATAAAGACTACGATATAGGTAGTGATGATATAAATAAACCAAAAAAGGACAATACTTCATCTGATTCAGATCAAATTCAATTTTTTATGTACATATACTTACCTCTGTTATCACGCAGTTTGTTTCTTAAGTTTGATCTTTTATTTGTTTTGTATTTTTGTTGTTCGTTTCTACTATTCGTTCCTGTTTTTTATATACTGAAATCTTGTAGTAAGTAGGTACCTATGTAACTGTAATTTGTGATATTTGTGAGTCTTTTCGAATTGAAAATAAGGAATATGAACCTTTTTTTATGAGAATGTTTTTCAATACTGTCTGTAGGTTACTTTTTTTGTTTACTACACAATATTTTGACGTCATAGGTTCATCTCATGATACTTTCTTGAAATTTTTATAGCATTTAAATAGCTCTGAATTTTTGACAAGTTATTTAGGTACTGATGAAATAAAAATTAAACTTGTAACCCTGATCCAAGCATAACAACTGTCATTTGCTTTTGTAAAATTAATTATTCGCGAAATCCGATAGATTTCACGTGTAAATAGGACTGTGATGTGTGTTTGAGGTCTAAGAAAACATTTAATATGCACCTTGGCGAAAAACTGGCTATTGTAAGAATGAAAAAATATATTCAGTAGGTATGGTTTCAACACCTTAGGCGATCCATCTTACAGTGGACGGACACCCTGTACATAATCACGCATAAAATCATAACAAATGAGATACCCATCATAGGTACCTATCATATTCCGATTAAACACGAGCATCAATTATAATGTATGCCTGATTTATTCGCTGTACAAACTTTTTTACATCAATTATCGTCAGACCGTATAATATGCGTATTTTCCGCATTGTCAATAATGTATATAGTAAACGTCACTTTTGATTGATGTATTACCCTTTGCTAGCTTTTGCTATTCTGTGCTGTACAAACACGTCCAATGAGCGTCGTGACGTCCTTCCTATCCGTGGTTTTCTCAACTCGCCGTTCCATTAGGCGTTTTCATTGTGCGTGTGATAATACCGTGATTAGCGTGATACAGGGCGACCAAAGGTCACCTGTCAAAAAAACTGATGGATTTCGCCTCAATGGCTGTCGTTCTCCAATCATTAGTTTTCCTAGTATACACCGTGTCTTAGCTAAAATGTATCCCCCTCTGTTAATGGTGATCAAGTTTATTTGATGGTTATGCTGATTCGAAATATGGTATTCATTATATTATTATTGTCGCTGGCATCACGAAGGGACTTTATCTCGATATTTACAACTTCTCAGGAGGGTGGTTTAAAAAACATTGGTATAATGGTGTAATATGAGGCATTATTTCTTATTATTTCACCTGTTTTGTTTCGATAAAATGTAAATCAAGATAGTTAATTTCGTAATAATATCAACAAATGAAAAAAAAAACACAAACGATAATAAGATTTACACAAAATTCCTAACAACACGATATGTTTCGTTAGCCCTCTCATGCATAATGCTACTACAGTGGATAGGGGGAATAAGTAATTGTGAATAATGGAAATATTCCATGTTTTATCAGAAACTATTTATGGTTGACAATATTAGACATATTTTGACACATCTCCAGTGTTACCACCTCCTGGGAAAAAAATCAGGAGTCATTCTATATGTTGAATCGTATTTGCACTAACTCAAAATGGTTGCTGAAAACTTCAATGTCGTTCCAGTCAGAACATTTCTACGAGGTGCTAGAAGAAATTGTATAAATCGACATCTCGATTAGTGTAACCAATAATTAGCAATTAGCACACAATATTTCACCGTGCCTCAGTCAGAATCGGAAAAACTATATGTCCAACCTATAGTAGACGCTAGACGCCATGTATTTCATGACCTGATTATTTTACTTTCGAATAAATTCCAAACAATTTTCGAAATTCTGGAGGATTCCGAAATTATAATTCCTTTTCAGAAACCAAGTCCGGTCCTGAATATTTTTTATTGCTGCTATATCAATATGCAAAAAAAAATATTTGAAAACTTTTGGACGAATGTAGGAGTAGGTACCTAGTGTGCCAGGACAAAATCGAAGAAATATTGGAGCACTTGGAGCATTATCCCTGATTCTTCAGACAATGGTGTTTCTAGAGAACGATCCAAGTTCAAAATTTTGACATCTAAAATTCCAAGTCCGGCTCTGGAATTTTTTTGCTATAAAACATAGAAGTTCCTCAAATATCCTTCATCGAATTCCTGTATTTTGATCACGAATTAATAGGCAAAATATATTATATGTTTCATCTCATCTTGACTTTCCCTATCCGCCATTAGGCTATGGCTGGTTAGTCATGACTCACCCTGTATATGAAAATGTATGTCAGAGTTAAAAATCCCAAAATTCGGCCAGATAGCCCTGAAGGCTGTTGCCTGTTTTATCGAAAATATTCGAAAAAAATGATGTTGAAATAGATATAGAAAACCTATATAAAGTTATGGAATGACGAGCATACTTACGTTTTTTACTCCCAATGTGACCAATTCTTATAATGACGAAGAAGAAGATCGTAAGAAGAGGCCCAAAGACACGAAAAGAAGAACATTGTGCTTTACAAAATACGATGATTTCTTTCTAGCTTTTTATTATTGTGAAACACCTACGTATTCTTGACTCCGCACTGCTTGAAACCCACTTCAGATATGAAAATAATCGCTTGGGGAGCAGCAACAAAAAATCATATTTTCCCATTAGCGGTTGTTCAACGAATAGCAATCAAAAGCATAATATACAAAAATCATATACTTACCACACAAATGATTTGTACAATGATTCGAAAATTATGGATATAAGACAACTTTTTTTTTCTTGGATAGTGATCAGACAACATCAGCACAAGCCTGAATAAATACCAATTGAACATCCTCATTATACTCGTTATAGAATCAATTCCGTTTATGTGCCAAAAACAGGAGAACATGTGTTACGAAGGTCATACATGTATTTAGGGCCAAAGTTCTACAATGTTATACCGCCGGAGTTCGAAGGAATCAATTCAATTACTCTGTTTGAGAAATGCCTTAAAACTGGATATCATGCACAAACAGCAAGATTGACAATTCATCAGTATATATTGATCCAATGGTCACATGACAAAATGCGTTAACTGAATTATTTATAATATTGTAAACATTAAGATTTTATTTGAATATAATTGTTCTGTTTCATTTTCTTCATGAAAAAAGAAAACGTCGTTATGAATTGTTATTGTGGTTATTATAAATGGAAGTATTGATATATTTATATTGATTTATATTCTTCCTTATAAAATTATCAGCCTTATCACTATACCATACTTCACAAGAACGAGAACTATTATTATCTTTACTCAATGTTTTGAAACAAGTAAGTAACAACTTATTTTTCATTATCATTTATTTATTTTTCAATACCCATGCTCGAGGCAACCATTTATGGGTTAACTATATATATTTATTTCCGTTAATTTTCATGTACCTGCATTGAATCTGTTTGATATGAAATAAATATTACTGGAGAAAACGATTTTTCGTACCAAACATGCGAGGTTCGATTTTCCAGACTAAGAGGTTTCCATCAGAGTCTATAAACGCTTAATATGGATCTCCAATTATTCCCAAGAGTCCTCCGACTCACATTATATAGACAGATAGAGCGTATTGTCACGATCTAATTTCAGAATTGATTTAACCGTTGATCGAAGTTCGGAAACTATATAACGTCTATATATGTATATATTCTCCATCTATAAGTGCCAAAATTAACTGAAATCATAATTGAAATCGATAATGTCCCTGAGATATCACCAGGACACAATCGTTCAGGTATAATTGCCCAAGTCAATCCCAATCACGGTCAAGTGGTCAACTGGTAGTCAATTTACATGTCTAGAATGGCTTTCCCACACATTCCCCCAGAATTTCACATCACGCTTGAAACATCTTCCATCGAGAAAAAATTGATGAGTACGAAGATTTGTGGAAACACTCTCTATGGCATTTAAAATTCACTCAAAAATGGCAGATGAACTTTCAAATTTGCAATGTCAGAAAATAAGTGTCAAAGATAATGTTGTTCGCCAAAAATATATTTGTAGGTATGCGGCCAGAATGTTTCCTTTTACCACGTCTCACAATATCATTCTGGAGAAGCATGTCTACAAAACCCCAAAAAAAATCCGAAGCTAAGGCACCACATCTGAAGACGTTCAAAATTTACCGTTACGATCCTCAAGACAAGAAGAAGAAAGGCCATATGCAGAAATACACCATCAATCTCAATGAGTAAGTTCTCAACTTACTTGAACTACTTACTCAAAAAATGCGCAAACAGTTGTAGGCCGATGGTACTAGACGCTCTTTTGAAAATCAAAACAGAGCAAGACTCCTCGTTATCCTTTAGAAGATCTTGCAGAGAAGGAATATGTGGGTCTTGTGGAATGAACATAGATGGAGTCAATAGACTAGCCTGTACTCAGTAAGATTAACCATGTTTTGGAAAGTATAGTAACTTCCCCTATGTATACCTCATCATATTGTTAACGTAATATCTTCAAACTATCTCAAGATATTGTTGGACCCACTTTTCTGAACTTTTTGATTTGCAGTGAATACCAAATGATTCGGGAGGTTGAAATTCAGATATTCACACTTGCTGATGTCTCTGAAAACCAAATGTTGATACTTTTCTTTCAGTAAGATCAAACTGAAAGGCACCACCAAGATTTATCCTCTTCCGCACATGTACGTTATCAAAGATCTGGTAGTTGACTTTTCCAAATTCATCGAGCAACACAAGAGAATCATGCCGTATCTCATTCGAGAAAAAGCACATGCAGAGGGCAAGGACCAGTGTCTCCAGAGTATCAAAGATAGAGATTCATTGGTGAGTATCAAAAACGAAACGGAATATCTTTGATACAGATAGGTAATATGAGCACCATAGGTAATATCTTCTAAAATTATTCATAGGCAAAAATTTACTTCTTATCATATTATACGTAATAAAAAAATTGAAAGATATGGTATCTGGCTCTGGACCAGAAGTAGTCTTTTGAAGATAGATTTTGCAGCTGTCCAATGAAGAAGTATTGCTGATGGTGATACCGATAATAGATAGTATATGGGAAAATGGTCATAAATCGAGTGTTTTGGTGGCGCTGAATTCCACTATTCCAATTATTTTCACTAGCAAAAACTCCAGCATTATGCTCATTGACAACGTTGACTTACTTGCTCGCCTTCGTCTTAAAAACTTGCTCCGATTTCTTGTCACAAGCTATCTAAGCCGAAATGACCAAGTTGTGTTATACAGGGTGTTCCGTTGGGAAATACTTAAACGGTGGATAGAGGTGACCAAGGTGGTACTGAATATTCCATATATGTTGGGTCTTACATATTTCATTATCGAGATACAGGGTGTTTTATCATTTCTGGTCATTTCTTTAAAGGCTCATGGCATACGAACCACCTGGTGTATTTTTCTTAAATTTGGTAGACTTGTCTTCCCACTGCTACCCCAGCGACTTGTATATCCATCAGAAAAACATTCCAGGCCCAGATTAACAAAAATTTAACACATTATTAAGTCCTCGAAAAAACACCCTGTATGTTTGAATTTACCGAATCCGCTTACATATCTGGAAAGAGCACAGAATATCGAATGGATTTGTGTATTTTTCTGAATTTCTGAAGCTGCAATGAAGGATTTGTGAATTTCAATAGCTAAAAACGGAAAATATTTTCAGTTCTTCATATCGAATTATGAAAATTTTGCAATTCTACAACGCATTTTATTCCATTCAATAACAAATTCAAAATTTCGAATTCCTAAATCGAACTGATTCAAACGAAATTCGCTGCAGACTTTGAGTATTCAACTAGTTTATATAATCAAGGCAGCAGAACATTTTTTTTCGGGGTATGAATTAATTATGTCATATTGTATTTTTCCTAATACCTATAACGAGTTAATGAGATCCATCAGTTTCTAGTAGGTAACTGAAATTATAACATCAAAACAATAGAAATATTGAAATATGTGAATCCACATACAGGGTACATGGAAATATGTCTCAAACAAATAAATAGGTACATGAAAAAAGTAAAGACCTGTGAACATACACTGGCATAAAAATACAGACAACGACTATTAAATGGAATGAAATGAGTTGAAAAATTGCAAAATTTTCATAATTCGAAATGAAAATCTGAAAATTTGCTTCAAAATTCAGTAGTAAAATAGCATGCGGAAACATTAAAAGTACACAAATCCATTCAATATGTTGTGCTCTCTTCAGATATGTAAGCAAATTTGGTAAATTCAAACATACAGGGTGTTGTTTCGAGGATCCAATAATATGTTGAATTTTTGTTAATCCGGGCCTGGAATTTTGTTCTGACGGATATACAAGTCGCTGGGGTAGCAGTGGGAAAACACGTCTACCAAATATCAAAAAAATATACCAGGTGGTTCGTATGCTATGAGCCGTCAAAGAAATGAGCAGAATTGATAAAACACCCTATATCTCGATAATGAAACATGTAAAACCCAACATATCTGATATATTCAGAACCACCTTGGTCACCCCTATCCACCGTTGAAGTATTTCCGTTTCCCAACGGAACACCCTGTATAATAATGTTGAATAGTTGATTTGGCTCCACAGAGAGGTCTTCGAACCCAGCGAGCACAAAAAACATCTCAGAGATGTTTAAAGTACGAGATTTCGAGACATTGAACTTCCACTGCGATGTTCTGTTCACACATGAATAGAACTATTATAGAACAGCCAATGTCCGCCGCAGGCGGCAATTATCGAGATGTCCTTGATATGTCACAAAACTACCTTCTCCCTAGTTCTTTTTAAAGCCTTTTCATGGACACAACAGAACATTTTCAACGCGTCTTGCGCACATTAAATCGCTGTAAAAAACCATTTTCGAGGTACTTTTCTGAAGACTTCTGTCAAAATGAACTTTTGCATTAGGATTCCATTTCCCTTAAAAATATTTTCTTGAATGAAATTACCTTTTTAATCGGTTTCTGAGTAGTGCTTACTACACAGTACACACAGACATATAATTGGAAATAGGTTTCCCAATTTTTGAAATGTTCTCCACAATGCATAATTTTGCAACTGCGGAGAAGCTGTGTATTGATAAATTCGTACTTTTATATATTGATTACACTGAGGCACCGAACAACACATCTTGCATCTGATGGTCATCATTACAAACTAAATAAGTCTTCTAACACAATAAACTTCACCAAATTCCTTTCTGTTCGTTAGCAGCGTGAAGTAAGCGTGACACGCTGCAAACGCGAATGCCAATTGCGAACAAGAAGAACAAAATCGAAAACAAATCAGAATTCATCGTATTGTGACGTAAGCATGAGACGTTGTGGTGGGGCAAACAAAGAAAGGGCACAAAAGAACAAAAACAATACTTTCAATATCCTTCTAAGACCACTTTGGGAAGTGCATATTACGCCTCAAAAAAACATCCTCATGCCTACATTTCTAAAATATCCCAAAACATCCCAGGGATACCTCTCAGTAGGCAAACAAAGAAATGCCACAGAAGAACAAAAACAATACTTCAATATCCTTCAAAGACCTCTTTGGTCAGTGCATATTACGTCTCAAAATGACATCTTCATGCCAACATTTTCAAAACGTCCCAAAACATCCCAGGGATGTTTGTGCTCGCTGGGAAGATTGTCTCCATTCCACAGATAAGACAAGAACCTTTATCTTTATATTTCTCTCAAACCAGTCATCAATATCGAATATAAACAGTTTCTATTCTAATTTTCTCGGCCCATTCATTGTATAGTTGATATTTTCAGATAGGCTACGTAGAGTGTATTCTCTGCGCATGCTGTTCAACTTCCTGTCCGGAATATTGGTGGCATGGCCATACGAAGGCTCCCAACGACTTCTTGGGACCAGCAGCCTTATTGAACGCCTACAGATGGATCAAAGATACCAGAGATGAGGGCACCAAGCTGAGATTGTCGAAGTTGACGAACTATTACAACCTTTACAGATGCCACCAGATCAACAACTGCACCAAGTGTTGTCCCAAAGTAAACTTATTGGCAAGTTCCAAAATGTGTCGTTGAGGTATATTTTTGTATTTTTAGAGACTGGCTCCGGGCAAAGCCATAGCAGATCTCAGACTCCTTGTGGCTAATTTCAAGAAGAAGAAAAAGGGAGACCTAGAAGGAAACCTTCCTTCTGATCCGCACAAAGCTTGTGAGCCGAAAGAAGACTGCTAGAACACGAGTTCATTTCTATTTATTCCAAAGAATATACAATATTAGGAATGCGGCTGTTTTTGTTCTAAAGCTTTCACGGAATTTTCTCCGATTGCGTCCTTGAAGGTCGACTCAAGGTCTAGATATTTGTTGAATTCGCACCAGTCTATGAGGATCCCTGCTTGCGGCTCTTGCTCTGATCCCCACCACAAATCATTCTGAAAAAACAAATGAAAAAATGTGTTTCCATACTTCCTTAGCTTTATATGAAACGAAACCAGAAATTAGCAAGGTTACCTTAATGTTCACTGGTGGTACGTCTGGCATAGGACACACTTTTCTATCAAGAAACTGTATCAAATCATCATAATACAAATTGCATTGCCCATCATTCTTAACCCTGGAATAATACTTATTTGTACATTGAGGTAGTAAAGAATAACAGTATTACCCAGAGACCATGATTATATCCCGAGGCTTCAGTCGAGGTTATATATTATATACTTTACTACCAAGGTGTATATTAAATTTTTTTCACCACTAGCAATACATTTCAATCATTTCAGTTCTGTGAAATCGAAATATGAACCTATTAGCAAGGTGATGATCTGGTGGGCATATTTGAACCAGTTTATCAGAGCATTCAATGGTCATTTTTGTTATTGTTTGTTATTTTGTTCATTTAATTGATATTTCATGTGATTCATTCAACAAATTACTTCAATTTTCTGATCTCGATTTTCCTGAGTACAGGACAACAACTTATATCAATTACCGACACAGTTCTACATTATTTTATAAATCATGAATCAACAAATCACTCAAATCATTGCCATTGCAAAATATATCAGCTTCTTTCAAATTCACCGATAGTTGAAATGGTTGGGTGATTTTCATATCCTACAGAATGTCACAGGTTTTGAAAGGCTTCTTTTGTAGCTGTAATATACTATCCGTAAGACAATATTATTTCAATCACATACACGATGTAATAATGATTCAACAATGATTTTTGATATTTTCTGTGATAACTTCGAGAATTAACACAATTAACACAAATAAATAGCAGGAATAAAATGTATGCAAAACACACAAAATATGTAAACGAAGTGCCCTGATAACGCCGCCATCTTGTTTTTGATACAGCGCCCTCAACGGTCGGTCACCTTGCCAATTGTCATTATGAAAGCACTTCTTTTCAATTCTAATTCAAATCTAGGAGCCATGACCATGACAACATTATGACAAGTCGCGTTGATTGCTAAATACTACTAGATTCATGAATATCGCATCAGAACAGTGAATTCGGGTTGACTATAACAGAGGTGGCTATGTCTCAATTGACTAGTGGTTAATTGAATGACGAAAACTTCCTTGGCAGTAAAAATACACTTTACGCCTCAAAAAAAAGTTAATAATGGTAGATTTTATATCTAGTGGTGAAAAAAACAGTATTACTCATTAGTGGACGTTCGCCCTATACTGGCAACATTGAAGATATATACTCACACTTGCAGTATTCTTTCGATCAATTGATTATCAAAAGGTAATCTGCAGCCCTTCAAGACAGTATAGCACTCTTTGCGACTCAATTTTCCTGATCTGTCACCGTCTCTTTGCAAGAGGTACTCTTTGAGACGATCCAGATCGTCCCACAGGTATCTCTTGAGTTCTGTCAAGGCCAAAGCTCTGAAAAAAACAAATCACTTTGATGGTACCAAGCAACCTGTATATGTTGATGAATCGAGAGTTGTTCAACATACTCTTGAGACCTTGATGAGAATTGAACAGTTCGGGAAATTTTTGTAGGCAATAGAGATCAGTTAATCTGTGTTCAACTTCATGGACATTGTCCGATAATATAACATATAGATGATGAAAAAACGCAATAAAACTCAGGAATATCTTAATGAGGAAAATGAGTTGAAACTAAAATAACACGGTCCTCATACATACATATAATCGAACAAAGACTCTTCCATAATTAATTTCTCGAAAGTTACTATAGAGAGTCAGCTTCCTTGTACGTTGGAGAAGTCCATGGATGTTCAAAGTGGAGTGATAGGATTACTTTTCCTGCTTTTTTGTTTAGATCCTTATGAATCCCCATAATGTTCGTGAAACATTATGTGTACTTAAGGAGAATAAAGAACGAAGGTATTTAATTTTTAACAACTTCTGATGCTTATAAAGTTCTTGGGAATATTTTCCTTAACTACCTCTGAATAATACTCGAAATCATCTCCACGACATTTTGATACGATCAAACGATCAAATCAGTTGGTATGTCTATCCTCAGCCTAATTAAAAATTGCTACATAAATTGTGTCCTAGAATGAATGTGAATAAGTGAAAGAAATGGATCAATAAAAATGGAATGCTTATGTAGGAATGAAAAGGAGATTAAATTCTGATATTAATGAATGTAAAAGAGGGGGGGGGGGCATTTTTGCAAGAGCGAAGGAGAACCCAACAAACCCCAAATCTAGAATTATGGTGGAAACCACTGAAAAGACCACCACAAGGTGCACATCTGCAACACCACAAAACGGGGGAAGGTTTCTATGTCCATCTTGTTACGTACAGAAGTCACCTGACTCGGCTTAAAGAGAACAAAGGCATGTCACATGTCAACAAAGAAGACAAGTGTCATGAGACATCTTGGCAATTTCTAACATCAACAATAGACGAATCCTTGACAAAGCATTTCAGAGCTCTGCTGACGATAATATCACGAACGAGTTTTGGTACAGGATAGAGAAGGTACTGAGGAAGGTAACTTAGTTGTCAAAACATGTATACAGCCTTTTCTAAAAATATTTTAGTGTTTTTTTGGATATATATTTGTATTACATCCTATATATTTGTCTCTCAGTTCATTCGAGCATCAAAATAACAAGGCACGCAGCGTGGGAGCTATATTACTTCAATAATTCACCTTATTTTGTCTCTGTCATATCGCTCCTTGTAACAGACTGCCGAAAAGGCCCTCGAAATCGTAACCATTTCATGTTCTGTGAAGTCCGTCCCCATTATTTTGCACAACTTGCTCCTACAATGAAAAATGAAAAATAAGTTTGATAAACGATGATACAAAGTCTAGTCAGAGTCTGAAAAAGTCAAATCACTAGGGAACTTTTGAATTTCAATTTTTAATTCAATATTCGAAGAACTATTATTGTTGCATCCACAGAAAACCATTTGATTTGCAGATAAGTGATTGGATCTTCCAATGTTGCCAAATGTTGGATGTCTTAGCATGTTCTCAGCTGACGATTTACCTTAATCTTTCATACGAGATAACAGGAGTTTCATGAGGAATATTTTCAGCGACGAAATCTTTGTAAATTGGTGTCAGCTTTTCTCTCACTTTATCCATGATTAGTTTGATATTTGCCTTAGGGAACTGAAATAAAAACATTCGAATCAAGTAGGTCATTCAGATTATTCACAATGGATAATAATACAGTGCGGATGACTATACATTAGACACCCATACATTTTTTTTCGAAAAGTAACTATACTTGTAGCGACCGATCTCATAAGAAAACAAAAGAGCAATGTATATAACTACTGGTTGCTTCGATCGAGACATGTGTAGGGAAAATGAATAGATGTTGGGAATTCTTGGTCAATGATTCCATATTTTCATATGACATCAAAGGTTGCGTGCAGCTTCGTTACCTTCGTTAAAATATTGGCATTCTGAAAGCATCTTCCAAACTGCCAATATTACCCATAAAAAAAGTTTTCCTGCCCAAATATGGTCTAACGTAAACCATTATCAAAGAAGTACCTACGTCATTTTTGGAAAATGTAGCAACAAGAAGAATCCCAATTTGTACAAAAGTTGAGTTTTATATCTTAAACAGTTCGTAAAAACGAATCATTTGAAACCCAATATCTCGAAAACTGTCTTGGCGGACTCATGAGTATCGGATATATTTTTCCGAATTAGCAATAAATTCCATTCCACATTTGTTGACAAATTCGGAATATAAATATGACACTGATTTCATTAGATCTTGCTCTTTCGATTTTTATCGATAGTAGTCTTCGTCAGAAAGTTGAAAAAATTGCTAAAACCACACTTAGCCGTCAAAAGTGGAAGATTTGATATACATATACACCCTCGATGAAGAAATAGTATTTTCAAAATTTAGAAAAAAATCTGATACTTATTGACCATTATCAAAAGTATTTCTCCACATATTTGAAAAAAATCTGTCGACCAGTTTTTGAACAAGACATGTTTTCTGAACATTTCCAAAAACGATACGTTTTCAAGAAATTTCGACAAAACATTTAACCCTATCATAACAAAATTCCCTTATTTTTTTATAAACTTTAGATAATACAGTTTTATAATTTTGAAAAACCGAAAATTCAATAACCGTGAATGTGTATGTGATTTCCATTATGGAATCGAATGATTTTTCAATACATTATTGATATCTTTACATCAAAATTCACGCCAATGTTCTAATATTTCTATACTGAGAAGCAAGTACAATCCTTGAATCACCTTTTTCTAAAGTATGGTTGAAATATTCTCCGTAGATATTCACCTTATATTGAGTTTGATCAGGGCCTACTCTAGGGTTTGATGGGTGTTTAATGCAATCCACACTATGAGGATGTTCCGATATTCCCGAGCAGTACTGCCCTGTATAGTTTTTTGTTCTAAAAAAATATACTTGGACACCGATACAGAAATGGTCAAGCGTTTGAATGGTTAGGTATGGGTCGATGAAAATTATATATTATTATTTTCAAATACTTTGGGAAAATCTATGATGTCGAACTGGAAGGTCTCAAAGTTGCAGTAGACGCTGAAACTGTCACTAATTCACAAGATGGTTTGTCATTTCCACTTTTGATATCAAATTTCAGCGCTATATGCTCCATTTCTTCATCACACAGGACCTAGCGAGGTACCTACTAGAGCTTGGTGTTTCTGATGAATCAGAATCACTATCGGGTAATATTATGTCTTCTAAAATAATATGATCAATCAGTCCATCCATAACTTCGACGTTGAGTTGAGAAGATAATAATAATAATAATAAAAATAAAACCCAACAGAACAAAACATCGAAAATCGAAGTTATTATGGTTTTGTTTGGATGCCAATGTACCAGTAGTGCCCAAATCGTTCCGAAATGGAATGAACATTCAAAGCTACTGCTACTGTTCCTAAATTGCTTACTGTGGCCAGTCATGTCAGCTATATCGGAACATGATCTATATGTTTCATGAAAAATGTTTACCTGACCAGCATTCAACTCCATATATCTCAAGGCATATTCATCAGCGTCCAATAGGACGAATTCGAATTCGTTAATTATCAGTGTTGCACCAACGAACATATGTTGGGGGGTGAAACACAGGGGCGGCTTACTAGTAAACACTTTCTGCCCCGGTAGCTTGATTTTGCTCCTTGCGAAGAAAGTTGAAGTTTTGAATCCTATGAGACGAAACAATGTAGAGACGTTTTTTCATCACAAGCGTAAAGGTCACCTGAATTTTTCCTGGCAATTTCGAAAACAGCCATAGTGTCATCGGATAAAAAATAGCTGATGATGAAAACTCTTGTACAATTTTCTGGTATTTTCGACTTCATTCTAGCCTCAAATCTTAAGACATGACTGTCTAGTCCATACCTAAAAAGTATATGTAGACTATTATTGAATCACTAATAAAAAACATATACCATTATTATATACCAAGGCAGAAGACATTTTTCTAAGCCGAGCTGTTTTAGTTTATGAGATGCTTCCGCATATCCAGGGTAATATATGTTGAAGTCGAGATCAATCTCCCGTACTATAGACACTATAGTTTGAGTATTTTTTATTTCTACTACTACATACCTAGTACATTTACTATACTAGAAGATGGTAAAATAAGGTCAATGGAATATAAACTATAACTATAACTATAAACTATTGAGAAGAAAGCATAGATGAAGATGTCCTGCTGTGTAATGAATTGTGTGAATTCTGAAGAGGATGGATTTCATTTGTTTAATTCGTCAAAGGAAATATCAACCCCATTATCTTATGGAAGGAATGTATGAAACGACCTGGATGGAAAATTGATTTGAGCAAAATTCGTGAGGTACCTACATAGATTAAAATTAAAATTCACTTTTTATAACAGAGCAGATTAGAATGAAACTATATTTCAGGCCCATATTTCCAAACAGAAGATTTCAAGATTAAGAGAATCTGATGTTCCATTCATTTACAAAATAGACTATTATCATCACACGAAATGCAGAACGAAACTATCATGGAGAAAGAGTAATTTATTGCAGAAGTACGTAATGATTTTGAAAATTTGAGAACGAAACGATATATCATTGAATGGCGTTTTCAATACCGACCGACCTAGCTGTGAATGTTATCTATACGTGTCTATTTTGTCATTGAAATGTTCTTACATCCATTTCTTTTCATTTTTATGATTGCTGTACTGCGAAAAGTGCCAATTGAAGTGGGTTTTCATACCTTATTTCCATTTTCCATCAACGACTATGGTTGATTTGACAGGAAATCTAACCTCCAAAATCGTATCTGACAATCAGGTGCTACTAGAGAAATTGAAAAGACAAAGAGCAGAATATATGTCTAATTCTTTTATTCACTTAAACCATTGTAATATAGAAAATAGAAATCGACAGAAGTTGTGCTGTGTCCGAATTCTTATCTAACTATCTATCTAACCATCCAGTGATAATACCATCCAGTGACTCTAGGTAGAAGTAGTGTTTTATTTCACCTTGAATCTTCACTCATAGTAATTATACATATATATATTGTTGTTATTGAAAGTCAGATAAGAATCAGCGCATTCCAGAGAGGATAGATCATATCATTTGTTTACTTGTTACCTACTTGGGAATTGATAAACACATGAATAAGTCCAAGCAAATAAGTCGCAATCGCTGACATTACAATTTATATCTATGACATTAGAATCATTGAGCTATTTCCTATGTATGTACATATTATGAGCGTATTTTCTTCTCTCCAGAAATTACTTCCAGTTGTCAATAATTTTTTAGCTTGCTAAACTCTTGAATTATTCAAATAACACAGCAACATGGTTCAACATCCTCCTGTTTGACTATCACAATTTTTCCATTCTGTAGTTCATTGTATACTCCTTTTCTGTGTTGAAGAAACGCCAATTAGTAGATTGTGTTTTGTCTCCACAAATTTGTCCAATGTATCAGCTGCATTCGCCATAGGACACGTTCATGAGGTTGAGTATGGCTACTCTGATAAACTTTTATTTTTGTCACAATAATGTATACCATGAATCACGAATATCAATATCAACTATAGGTACCCTGCAAAACTGAGAACCAGTTTTGTGGCAACACCGCTACATACGCAATGACTACGAGAAATTCCGAAGCTCTCAAGTTGCATAGTATTCGCAAACACGAAATCATTCATACAAGAAATGCGGCGTTGTCGCTTTCCGACCAAGAATAAATTATGCAACAGATTGAAACAGTTCCATGCTTTAATGTTCGAGGAAGCGACATCCACAAATGTCAGGAACGTATCAATAATAATTATGAAACTCCTTCTTTACCCAAATATCAAGTGACATCCTCCTTGAGAGGAATGACTAGGAATATGGCTGCTCTATATTATCAGACACAACATAAATTGAAAAAATATTCTCTTTTATGTCTTTATTCAAATTCAAAACAGTTGCATCTCAGCTTCACCTGATGATACCAAAATTATTGAAAAAGTACCTGTCGTAGAGCAAAAACTTCTTGAAATCCTTCTGTGGCGCTTTGGGCTCCACCGTTATGCAGTTTTGCGCAGAATCCTCATGGGTCCCGTATCCGTTCCAAGGCGGCAGATCCCTGTCTTTGGGCAGGGGAATCTCCTTCACCTCTTTCTTCCTGTCGGGAATGTGAAGGCTGGTGAATTCGCTGATCCCGTATTTCTCCGCGTAGTAGGCCTTGGTGAACGAATCGCAGTCTGTCAAGACTATTTTTCTGCCATAGCAATTGATCACAGCAGCTTGAAACGAGGATTTTTTTTGGTGAGGAAGTATACAGGATAATGTATAACAATTCAAGGTCATCATCTGAGGTTGCGATGCCGTTTGGTATGGTTGAAACATTTCTAACTCCTGGCATAGATTGAAATTCTGACGACATGTCGAAAAGGGAATCGAGGTAGTCAAGGTCATCATGACGATGACATGAAAACCACGGGAAAACATGTCTAACCTTCAATCTAATGCAAGAGTTAAGAATGTTTTCTTGTCGTTTTCATGTCATCGTAACGTCAGATGATGACCTTGAAATCCGTCAATAAAGGCCGGTTGAATTGACGGTTTTCAAGGTCATCATCTGATGTTGCGATGACGTTTAACAATAGGAAAAACATTCCTAACTCCTGGCATAGACACTTTTCAATATTGTTATATGTCATCGCAACGTCGATCATGTGAAAGCGTCAATGAAGCATTTGACAGACGATGGAATGTTCAATTTGTTGATATTTTTATATCCACGGCAACCCCTATGAATCAGCTGATGTGTTAGATGGATTCCTCGTTGAATAGAGATTCATGGAACTGGCCTATATAGGTTCTAATAATTACTGCAGCTTAAAAATATATAGATGGTGAAAGCATGGACACTGTAATACAACACCGAGGCAAATTAACTCATCATTTTCATTTTCAAGAATGAGAATAATTTTTTGACCTAGCCAATGGTTTTTCTTGTTCATTCACATATGATATTGTAGATCGATTGAAAATGATCGCATAGACGTTCATAGCAGTTCACTGTAACGAAACAGCGACGTTCATTTGGAGATGTAGCTGAGTCAGGCAAAATAAGGAACAAATTAAAACGTCTCAAATATGTTGAAGAGTTGTTATCTCGAAAAGGTCACCAAATAAGGTACAAGAAATTAACGTTAAAAAACCTGTTCGGGATGGTCCTTGCTCAATGGGTAGATTTATTATAATCAAGAGTCAACTTATTGGTCGTTAGCCACAACGATGTTTGTTTCAAATTATTTTCAAAAGCCTAATAATTGATATCGTTGATCTCTTTCGAGGTATAGATTATTGTTGTGTCATCTGCAAATAATTCTACATAATAGTTATTTGTTTCACTAGGCAGGAAACCACAAGATTTAATGCCTGCTATGTGAAACATATAATTTTTTCTTCAAATTCGAATTAATTTCACGCAAAGTCCAAATAATCCATCATTTTGTGTTCACCCAAAGTCAGTGTTAATTTTTATTCCCAATTTGATTCAAACTATGACTCGGAACGTGCATAGCAACAAACTTTTTCTGTCTAGCCAATATTTCAATAGAGTCTCAGTGCAGTCAATACATAATTTTATAATGCCCAAAACATTTGAGTAAGTGGAAACCGCAACGTCAATTCGCGTTAGCAAAAACGCGTTTTAGCTCTGTGTGAACATGGCAGTTTACCAATGAAGTCAGCTGAATGATGAAGAAGCCAGAACTAATTCTTTGAAATATGAGCCTTAAAAAACTGTATAGAATGGTTTTTCATAAACTTCACGGAGAAATAAAAATGTCCTTAATTATTTTTCGAAGATCTATAAGTTGTTCATATAATTTTTTCTTAACGAAGAAAATTGTATCACCCTGTATAGATACCTATGCTGAGATCCCTTTCCGTGTAGAAGTCGATGTTTTGTCTTCCGCAATCCAATGGGTCTATGATGTACCGTCTGCTAGAAAGCGACGAGCCAAGCACGTTCAGGACCGTATAGTCTGAATTGTGCCCGGGAGTAGGGAGTTCTTTGTAAACTTTGGGGAGTTTGCCACGCTTCAGGAAAATGAAGGCAGGCTCTCCCCCAGACTCCTCTTGGAGTTCTTTGATTTCTATGGTGTCGTCTGCTAGGTAGTACCGGAACTGCAAATGGTGGACGTACCCGTATTCGGTGTTCTGGTCGTCCCAGTACCCTTGAAAGTGGAGAATCTACGACAAATAACAATATGGATTTTGAAACGAGGACTTCTACCAGATCGAGATAACCAAAATATGAATGTTTTTTTCATCTATTTATGAAAATCGATTGATTTTACGTGTGAATAAGACCGTGGTGTGAATAAAAATGTGTGAAGTCTACTGAACATTTGGAGACCACAGGGGGAGAAGGAGGAATGTCACAAAAAGTAAGTTTCGTGAAAAACGCATTCCAAAGTTTTAAAACTTCTTACTTTTTGGAAGTTGAAGGAAAACTGAAATCAAACCACCTGGATTCATTTGATGGAGTATAATGAGCAATAAAGTCGAATAACTAGAAAAAAAAATCATTGGAATTTGAATGGAAAAATCATCGGAAACAAAAAATTAGTCCAAAGATTCAAGGGAAAAATGGGGAATGTCCATATAAATTGTCAAGAAACTGGATGGTTCACTCGCAATTATCTGCTCTGGTACATTCTTTCATTCTTGCCTGACCACCTATTGAGCGATAAGTTGTCATATAGTACATCTAGCATCTCTATAATTTGATCATTTTCTATAAATTCCACGCGATATGAGGAATCATCATGTAGCAACCTCAGCATTATTTTATTTCCATCACTCAGACGTACTCGACATTACCATTATGTCCAGTATCAAAATGAAAATCAAAATGTATAGAAGTATACTTGTATAAAGTCGGGTCTTGATGAGCTTGGAACTTCCAAAAATATCATTCGTATCAGTGATATGGGAATAATATCTCTCACAAACAGGTTATATGACTTTATTCGAATGAACTCATTTCGGATTTCAAACCCTTCTCAGTAACCTGGAGTCATCTCTCAGCCATTCTTCACGATATACACAATTTTCATATTTCAATAATATAACTAGAACTATAACGACCTGACATCTGACAATACTTATTTGTTGACATTCAATCCCTGTATATCTATATTGTCATACATCCAAGAACAAATATTCATGTGAAGAGTTTTTTATAGAAAAACAGTTCAGACGCGTCGTAATCTACAAAAAAACACCAAAAAAGGTATACATGCAGTGTGTCCCGCTTTTCATGAATACACCCTGATATCTCAGTCATCAATGTTGTGATTCTCTTGAAATTTTTGTAGGGATTGTGAGTAAGAATAAGGAAGTATTTAGCAGAATCATTCACCATTGGCGTGCGATGTTGAGGCGTACAAAAAAAGACTTTTTTCTGTGACGGGAAAAAAGTTTGGCATTTCATCTCTGTTGGCAGGTTATAAAATGTCACTTTTCATAAATTACTTTTTTCCCGTGGGAAAAAAGTGAGTACTTTTTTCCCGGATATATATCACATATATATACTCTGTTAATGGCTTTTGTTGTGCTATAGTTCCGAGAAAAGAGTCAATAATACCGTCTCCGAGAAAGAACTGCAAGTCCTTTTATCTTCCATTCGACTTCGCGGTTTCGTATATTACTAAACAACTACTGAATTCGCAATTTTTTAAAATCAAATCACAGAATTGAACTGACAGAAAGTGACATCAGATATTTGATTACTTCAAAAGAATGATAAAGATGCCTATAAAAAGCAGGTGTCCCTACTGTTAAAAACTTGAAATTTCACGTCGATAATTTTCAGATTTCGAAATAATGTAATATCTTCTTAATATTGATTCGTCCTTCCTTTTGTCACACAAAAAAACAGTGTATTATACACGGGAAAAATATTAGATTTTAGCTCACGGTTTTTTGTCTCCCTCCGCTACGCGTCGGGAGACAACACAACCTGGAGCTAAAATCTACTACTTTTTTCCCTTGTATAATAAATAACTATTATTTGGGGAAAGGATATTTTTTCATGTTCTAGTTCCCACGAGAAGGGATATCCTGTAATGTTCAGAAAACATCGTGAGAACCAAGGGAAATAAGGAAGAAATTAGTGTTCTTCTTGAATTTCTGGAGGTTATACGCCTCGGGGAACACCTTCTTTGGCGATGTGTTCCAGAGCCTCGCTGTTCGTTGGATGAACGAGTCTTTGGAAAGAGATGTTCTGCAGGTCTCCAAAGTGACCACGAAGGGGTGCGAGGCCTCAACTCTACGAGTTAATCTCGCGGGGACTGCCAAGGGAGAAACAATTGTTGATATATCAGAAGAGCATCGTCCATGAAAATATCTATAAAATAGAGCCAGATCGCCAACTTTTCTACGGTGTTCCAGAGAAGTGAGTGAGTTTGTGAGTGAGGCATCACCCACGAGACGAATTGCCCTTTTTTGGACTCCTTTTGAATAACTTTTTTTGTCAGATTCATAATCAGCATCCCCAAAAACCCCCCAATTCGTATTTTCAAGATCCCAAGAGCTAATAAAATGAAATATTTCAAGATCCCGCTTTTCATGACAACAACTTTAAATTTCAGTTATCAACGATGCGATTTTCTTGAAATCTTGATGGTGATTGTATGTTATATTTCTAACAGTTTGGAGAAAATCGCATCATTGATAATAAAAATATGAATTGGGGGGATGCTGATTCTGAATATCTAATATCCTTTTTTGTACCCCTCAATATTGCACGCCAATGGTGAATGAAACTGTTCACTCTGCTAAATACTTTATCGTTCTAACATACTATCACCAATAATAGCATCATTGATAACAGAGATATCACGATGTATTCATAAAAAGGCATTGAAAGTATTGTATCGTCTTCCATATGATACTCCAATGAATCAACTGTATAAGGAAACAAACACATTTTCTTTGGAAGAGCACTTTTTAATCAATACTCTCAAAATTTCCTATTATATCATCAACAAAAAGCTCAAATCAAATTTTATATTAATCAGGAATTCCGAAATTCATGATCATCACACTAGACAATATAACTTGTTCCATCTTGAAGCTGCAAATTCTAAACTTGGACAATAAAAGTTTACACATGAGGCGATGTCCAAATTCAATAAATTATCAGATGATATCAAAAACAGCCCAAATATTATACAATTCAAAAATGAAGTGAAGAAATATATTTATATGCAAAGGAAGGATCAAAGCTGAAAGACTATGAATTTCCTTTTCATTTTCTCACTGTTTTTTCCCCATCTTGTTCACTATTATATGACTGTTATTTTGAGATATCTCAATGGTATGTAAGTTTTGTTCACTATTTGTAATTTCAATAATACAACAGTCGATAATACTTCATGAATGATCTTATACCAGAAATTACTGTCTGATCTGAAAATTAAATATACTTTATATATTATTTGTATGAAATGATGGAGAAGAGGATGTAATGCAATAACTGAAATAAAATAAATAATTCCTAATTCCTAAAAGCGGGACACACTGATGTATATCGTTCACCTTTTTATCATTGGCCAAGAACTTCCCCAGCGTATCGCTGGTTCTGTTGGGCTTCTTGGGCTGCAGCGAGTCCCTCTGGTGCGCCCTGATGTCCATGTAGGGGTCGGCAGGGGCGGCGATAGGATCGGGCACCGCGATACCGCACCTATTCAAAAAGTGCCGGGTGAACTTGTCGCAACCGGTGATCTTGAACACGCGGCCGTAAAGCTCGACTTCTCTGCCGACGTTGAAGTCGATGATGTCGTAGAAGTTGGCGTCCATGGGCGGGGGGAAACGGATTCTCTGGCGGGCAATGAGAGTCCCTATAAAATTTAATGATTAATCGACTTACCTGAAGGAAGATTAATCCAAATTTTTCGAGCTTTTCTTCCGATATAATTACATTGTAGTTTCACGTTCATCGCCCCATCCGATACACATTTTTAAATAAGTTTGGTCCATGCGAAGCATGACTCAGCTATTTTCGTTTTCTTCCATTCCTCTCGGCTGGACCATCTCATACATGTTCATATCATTCCGTTTGTTGTAAAAGTATGTGGGTTTGTTCAATCATAGATTGGATCCCAGCGAGCACAAACATCCCTGGGATGTTTTGGGATGTTTTGAAAATGTTGGCATGAAGATGTTTTTTTGAGGCGTAATATGCACTTCCCAAAGAGGTCTTAGAAGGATATTGAAAGTATTGTTCTTGTTCTTTTGTGCCCTTTCTTTGTTTGCCCCACCACAACGTCTCATGCTTACGTCACAATACGATGAATTCTGATTTGTTTTCGATTTTGTTCTTCTTGTTCGCAATTGGCATTCGCGTTTGCAGCGTGTCACGCTTACATCACGCTGCTAACGAACAGTAAGGAATTTGGTGAAGTTTATTGTGTTAGAAGACTTATTTAGTTTGTAATAATGACCATCAGATGCAAGATGTGTTGTTCGGTGCCTCAGTGTAATCAATATATATAAGTACGAATTCATCAACACACAGCTTCTCCGCAGTTGCAAAATTATGCATTGTGGAGAACATTTCAAAAATTGGGAAACCTATTTCCAATTATATGTCTGTGTGTAGTGAGCACTACTCACAAACCGATTAAGAAGGTAATTTCATATCAAGAAAATATTTTTATGTTCGATCTATTTTTAATGCATTTTTTCATTCAAGGGAAATGGAATCCTAATGCAAAAGTTCATTTTGACAAAAGGCCTCGAAAATGGTTTTTTTACAGCGATTTGATGTGCGCAAGACGCGTTGAAAATGTTTTGTTGTGTCCATGAAAAGGCTTTAAAAAGAACTAGGGAGAAGGTAGTTTTGTGACATATCAAGGACATTGGCTGTTCTATAATAGTTCTATTCATGTGTGAACAGAACATCGCAGTGGAGGTTCAATGTCTCGAAATCTCGTACGTTTAACATCTCTGAGATGTTTGTGTGCTCGCTGGGATGAATTAAATTATAAGTTGAGGTAGGGCAGGGTGGGCTCTAATTATATATCGGAAAATTTGGATTAATCTTCCTTCAGGTAAGTCGAATGATCATTGAATTTTCCTTCGCTGGTCTTCTTTGTAGATGTTGAAAGGCACTTGATTTTACAACAATTTATTGCTGGCGGATTTCACAAGGGAAAAATTTCTTCAACAGATCGAGTTGTCTAAATGCTACAGTTATAATTTAATAATGAATAATTGGTAACAATATAATGATGAAAAGAAAAAGGAACATATATAGGATATATAAGTAAGTATGTTATATATTTCCTGAAATATTGAACCCTAACTTTCATCTATTATATATCTTATTATTCCTACGATATGATTCGGTCACACTCTCATTTGGCTTAATTGCGCATTCGCGAATATATCATTCGACGGTCTCACGGGTCTGTTATAAAAATTATGGAACATGCTAAATGCTTCAGAATTGTTTCATACCTATATTATATGTCATCCTCAGCCTAATCAAAAATTGCTACATGAATGTGAATGAGTGCAAGAAATAAATTATTAAAAATGGAATGCTTACGTGGGAATTTTTGATAATCCATTTCTTGCATATATTCACATTCATTCTAGGACACAATCAATGTAGGAATTTTTGATTAGGCTGAGGATGGACATATATACAGTGTGACCCACTTCTAATGGAAACACCCCTGTATCTTATGTAACCGTTGGGTAAGGATCCTGAAATTTGCTGGAGCGAGTGATATACAAAAACTGTACTTTATGACCTAGTGCGGTCGACTTCAGTGATATACACTGCTCGCCAGCAGCCATGGAACCACCCCAATCTCCGGAAAATGATATTAGGAGTCAAAATTGTTCAAAAATCACTTCAGATTCGGGATCAGGACACCCAATTCACTAACTATTTATATTTTTCCTGAAAATTTTTCAGTTCTGAAAAATTTCATTTTGTCGCACTTTTTACGGAAGCCCCTCGTATCTTACGTAATTGACTTCATCTTTGGACTTTCCTTTCCTCCTGCAAATTTCAGAACCCTACCTCAATAATTACGTGAGATACGGGGGAGCTTCCATGAGAAGTGAGACAAAATTTGATTTTTCTGAACTGAAAATTTTCTAGTAAAACTATGAAGAGATAGTGAATTGGGCGTCCTGATTCCGAATCCAAAACATGTACCAATTGATTTGATCGTTTGATCATAATAAAATGCCGTGGAGATGATTCACCTACCTATTTACCTCATTCAGCTTGTTTTTTTTTACCTTGTGCTACTCCACTGTTTTCCACTCTAGGTTCTATAACTTGTATAGTTCCGTCTTCCAAAAAAAGATAAATTTTCACCTTCCTTATCTGAAATGGGGATCCTTTGAATTCATGCAGTGTTTCTTGAAAGAATCCATCAAAACATAACATCTGAAAATTAATAAAATCTCTAATGAATCTTTCTCTAAGTACCCACTTGAATCTTCTTTTTAACAGAAAAGAATGAGAATTCTCGATTTTTATTGTGAAATATTGCATGGCTCGCCTGTTTATCAAATGCGATCCATCCTGGGATTTCTGTAGTCTCTCCTCTGGGGTAAATCGATGGATATTTATCGGACAGGGGGCCCAACATATTTGGCTTCACTCTCTCGACTAGAGCTCTATTGCCTTTTCCGATAAAGTCGAATTTTGGATTCATGTTGAATTTCGTCTTGCCGATCTAAATGAAATAAACAACAAGGAACATAGGTATTTTCTTCTCATTCAACTGAAGTTTACTTGAAAGTTCTTACATTTGGATTGAATGTAAATCCTGGCAAGAACGGCAAATCTGGACATCTTATACTCATTTTGGAAATAGAATTCAGGACTTTCCTTCAATCTCTGAATATAATATTATGGGTGACACTTCAAATTAGTAGCAGAAATAGCAAGTTGAAAGTTTTATCAATAATGAAGTTTCTGTTACCATAGTTCTTATTGGGTTTTCGTTCTCAGTCAAGTGAGTCAAGTGGCACAGTTACCACTCTTATGCAACCAACATTACACTCGATGCAGGCGTATCATGGGCGTATCCTGTAATCCGTATAGCCGAGTTGTGTCGAATTTAGTCGAAAATAAAATATGACCGGATTTGACAGCTAAACAACTGACGATCGCAGGTGAAATTGAATCTCCCACTACTACTATCTACTATCAATTCAAGGAAAACTGGCGTTTGTTGTTTTGATTAGTCAACGGGCTTACTTTTATTGAGGTTAATTCCGAGCGTGACATCATTTTTATGAAATAAATAGTGGATGCAGGAATGAAAATCTATTTGTTTAGTCAAGTAGGCTGATCGATTTTCTTGATTCAGGACGTCATATATTTATTTCGAGGTTATGTTGAAGCTTTGAGCATATTTTTAGAAGTTATTCTGTATTTTTGTGTAAACAAAAATAGAAAATGAGTGACCAGAAGGAGATTACGAGTGTGATAATGGAGAGAAAATCTTCGAGCGAAGCTAGTATTTTGAGTATTATTCTTAATGCGGCTAAAAAGGTGAGTCATATTTGTTCAATAGGTATGTAGAATATATAATTAATCAAAACATAATATATTGCTGTGAAATATCAGCAGCCTTGTTAAAAACACCCTTCAAACAGAACGCCCTGTATTACTTCCTATTTTTCATTTAGATTTCATTTGATATCTTTGGCACTTTTATACAGGGTGTTTCCAAAATTAGGGCGATGAATCAAATAAGGTGTTCTATGGACATGATTAATCACAATTGTTTTGAATATTATTAAAAAATGTGCGCTCCCGCCGGCTCCAACCATACTACATCTTCCAACTATTATTGAACGTCCGGCAGCATTGCATAGGTCATAAATACTTCCGGTGCTTGTGATATCGCTGAAAGCAAACGCTTGGGTTGGGCTTTAACTCGGCTATCAACATACCTGATCAATGATTTAGAAAAGTTTCAGGCAAACCTCTTGAAGCTCAATATCTTCCAAAATGTATGTTTTCTGTGACGGGAAAAAAGTTTGAAATTTCATCTCTCTTGACAGGTTATATGAAATGTCACTCTTCATAAAATTGCCTTTTGTCTCGGATATATCACATCCTATCCGTACCTCGAAAGTTTTTGATTCTTGAAGTCATAACTGAAAGTTGTTATGAGTTTCTTTCATTGAAATAAGTATGAATAAATGAAAATTTTTCAAAAATTTTAAACGAATTTCAATTTTTTCAGTGACGTAGAAAATTTGGAATGAATTATAGGAATTTGAAAATCATCAATTAACAATCAACAATTATATTGATAATCACGAGGGTATTTATACATAATATCTGATAATAATTAAGAGTTAGATGCGAAATATGTATTTTGATTAAAGATTAAGATGTTGTTGAAAAGTGATGTTGGTCTCCAAAATTAATGAATCCATAAAAAATATTCCATGCAATTAAATATCACACCTCTCCATTTCAACAATAACAAATCCAATCTTCATGTCCTGCCTCCAGAATATCCAAATTCATAGTTGTTGATGAGTTGAAAGTTGGCCAACTTTGTGATTCTTAATTCTTAATTCCTAATTTAAATGACAGATATGAATGTATAAACACATGCATGCATATAGAATTTAAATTCACTTATTATTTTACATAATTATTGTCTATCTTTTTTAGGCATCTATAGTGGGCATAGTATACTTAGCAGGTTATATGCAATGGTCTGTGGCGTGGTTTATAGGTCCCATAGTCCTCTTTGTAATGAGGGATCAATGGAAAAAATCTAGCGACAGTAGAAGAGCTATAGCTAAAAGTACGGCGCTAAGCAGCGAAAAGGATGTAGTGCTAGCCAGATTGAACGATTTGCCAGCTTGGGTAAGAATTATTAAGAAGATCGATACTCTATCGGATGGTAATTGATGGTCTAATTATATGTTACCGCCATCTAGTAGCCGTTATGGATGAATTAACAAAATCACACTATACCCAGTAGGACGCAGTGATCTTTAGCTGGAGACTGGTACTACAAGTAAACCACTCTGCTGAGTACATGAATCGAAAATCACCAGCCTTACTGGGAGAACTGGATCTTATAAATAAGATATACAGTGTGGATCATTCATGCGTCGGAGCTCGATTGCTCGAGTTCTATCATAGCTAGAAATTGGATACAAAAACGAATGTGAATGAGACAACAGGGTCTATAACTAGTTATTATTGCGGCATATACAGGGCACACCGAAAAAAATCTAGATAGTCGGGATATTTTTTTATATAAAATGCCCTGTATATTAGCACATTTTTTGAAGCATCTCTGTGACCTTCATCTATCCCTTCAATATCATTGACTATGTCTCGATCATATTAAAGTTATTAATTTTTTGTCAATGCAAACCGAAAAAAATTACTCGTCACAATTATGAAATTCAAGAGGAAATAATCATATCATTTGATGGAGAGATGCGTGAAATTTCTGAAGAATTTTCATGCCCTCAAATTATACAGGGTGGCTAAAAATTATTTTTCAATTCGGAACTTTCCGAAGTGATTTTTCTCGAGTTTTTCAAATGGAACACCCCATATCTTTTTCTGCCATTCGATGTGAAATCAAAACACGAACATCTTTTGTCTCAACATCCATATTGATATGTATTCATAACCAGTTTTGAATTATTGAACTTTGAAAATTATAGGTTGGGCATTTTCATCCATACATATATTCGAATCTGTTATTAAAACATGAAAAGTCCAATTAATAATTGAGTGAACCAGTTTTGTATTGAAAGAATTGATACCAGAATCATAGCAAACAGGACTAAGTAGTTCATATGCTAGTTATTCAAGTGAAAAAGTACAAAATTTTGCATAATTTCATGCCAATCGTTCAATGATTGTGAATTATTATCCTGGTTTTATTTTCAATGTGTTATGAATTTATGGGATACTTGAGAAATTTCTGTTTGCTCCGATTCTGGTATAAATTCTCTGAATGAAAAAACTGGTTACATTCGTTTTTGCATCAAGTTTCCAGCTATCATAGAATCGAGCTCTGGCGCACTAATACCCCACCCCGTATATAAGATTAACAAAGTTGTCCCAATTGCCAAAATAAGCAGGACAGTACTGTTTCGGGTCAACAGGCATTATCAATCGTTCTCGGTCCGCTGACAATTTTGAATTTTAACAACTATATTCATCCTAAATCTCTCAGCTATCATTGAGAAATAGTAATCTAAATACTCTATGTTTTATGATATGCTTTAAATTATTCGGCATATTTCAACCAATTTTTTCATGTGGGTCTCGATATTCATTTTTATCTATCTAATATGGTTTATTACTCAGATATTGTTATCAACTGTTTACAATTGGCTGCACATTTTAATGTTGGAGAAATAATACAAATATTTACCACCATTTATGGTTGATTTCATCAGCCATATGTAATAACTTGACTCATTCATAGATTGTATGATCCCTATATAGTATTTTGTCATAAAAAATAGTATAGTATTTTACGAGCACGGACTGATAGTAATTTCTCACGAGAATGAATGAGTTTGTAACATGAGTGGTAGGCGAATGCTGCAAATCAGTAGAGAATTAGCATTCTGTGCGAGTTATACACTATACTTTTTCCACGGCTCTAACTATTGGGTAACTTTTTTCCTCAATAGTTCATTATCTGTTTGTAATTTCCTAAGCTTTACAGGTATTTTATGTGTCTGAAGATGGTCGTTGAGTCGAAACTAGTCACAAACTGATTTGTTAATATAATTTTTGTGGTCGACCTACTTTGTGTTATACTGTTTTTTCTTTGAAAAACAAATTTTCATAATTGTGTAACATACACATCTGACATCTTTTATTTTGTGATTTTTCAGGTGTTTTTCCCAGATATTGAGAGAGCTGAATGGTTGAACAGAGTGAGATCTTTTTTTGAATCAGATAATATTTCCACCTAATCTGAATTTTTCCTTCAGATCATAAAACAAGTATGGCCCAATGTTAATCATTTTGTCAGAGAAATGGTCAGAGATTCCATTCAACCTATATTGAGAGAGAGTTGTGAGAAATACAACTTGAAGGGTTTCAAATTTGAACGAATCATTTTAGGAACCGTGGTAAATATCAGTTGTTCGTAAACATTCGTTGATTCTAAAATAACACCCGATTACAGAAATAATTTACAGGGTGTCTAAGAGAAAGTGGGAAATATCCATCATATTTTTTTTTTGTTTTCTATCTGAATCCGAGAGATTCCCCACATTTTCCCGGAAACCCTGTATAGCAATTCATATTCCGGATACATTCATTATTTCATAATTTTCAGCCTTTTCGTGTTGGTGGAGTGAAAGTATATGACAAAAATATCGATAGAAATGAAATAGTCATGGATTTGGATATTTTGTAAGTAATATTCACTTAATACCACAAGAGCTTCAATCACTTTTTTTTTTTCGAGAAAACAAATTTTTTGAAAATTTTTCTGAGTCGAAGACGATGGACAATTATCTAAAAATTCGTATTAGAGATGAAATATCCGGTTATTAATTGAAGCTAGAGTTCTACTCGGTAGCAAATTTCACACCGAAATATTATTGAGTAACGATACAAAATACAGGAGTAGTAGTAAATATTTGTAATTTCAGTTATGCAGGAGATTGTGATATCACTTTCCATCTTTCTGGTATGAAAGGAGGAATTCGAGATTTCCAAGTGAGTTTTTCAATTTACCTCTGGAAACTCAGCCTTCCACGTTAATCTTATCTCAATTTTAGTTACACGGTATGCTCAGAATTGTGATGAAACCGCTGATCACTTCAATACCACTGGTAGGCGGCCTTCAGGTGTTTTTCTTGAACAATCCGGACATAGATTTTGACCTTGTAGGCATCGCTGACCTTCTGGATTTGCCTGGATTAAGGTAAACATTTTCCATATGGCCATTCTTTTAGTCACCTCGAGTTTATTCAATTGCTTAGTCATTTCCTTTCCTGAAAATTGCTCAAGTATACCTACAACCCAGCGAAAACAGTTCCTTCAATAATTGGTTTCATACATGAAAGAAATCCTATAAGTGTTTTTTCCGAGCTTCCGAAAAATATTTATAGGAACTTTTGCATTATTTTTCAAAGTAGAATCGACCCTCCATTTATCTGCTCATCGCATCAGGTCACCCTGTATATTTATTTTCATTTTAGTGATATTTTGCGTCGAATAGTAATAGAAACGGTAGCTTCGATGATGGTGTTGCCTAATAAATTTCCCATTAAATTAAGTGATGAAATTGAAGCAGTTGAGTTGAAGGCACCAGAACCAGAGGTGAGTAAGTGACACTGGATGATTTGAATTTTTTTATATAAAAAATGAAGAGAGCGATATATATTCGAAAAATGTGAAATACATATCAGGGCGATATATATGGAAAGTATATGTATATCAGAAATCTTTTCAATTCGAATTATATTTGTCTCCTCTGACTATATATTTGATTAGCAATTACCATGCACGAAAAGGGACACAGCAGTGGCATCGGTAGATGACGAATTCCAATGTATATCCTTCATTTTTGTCAAGATATAGTTCTTATGAATTGTGAAAGAGCAATTCTATACGAATTCATCATCTGATCCCGTTACCGACCAACATCACTGTGTGAATTTTTGCTCCATAGTAATTTCCCATGAGAAGTAGCCAACAAGGAAAGATATCGTTCAAATTGGAAGCATTTCTTCAGTATGTACAGTGGGGTTCAATAGAAAAGAGTACAGTATAGGTCGCTGGCACGATGACCGACCCTTGAGGTAAAATATTGAAACGCAACCCCACTTTTTTGTAAAACATTGAAACGCAACCCCACTTTTTTGTAAAACATTGAATCACATCCCCACTTTTTTCATTTGTTTACAAAGGAATCAAAGGATTGAAATAGTTTTTCATAATATTGTGGCGTACGATTCGTGTTTTTTGCGCTATTCATCAATTCGAGCATGCCTTTTCATTGTGCTGTTTGTACAATACACAAACAATGCAGCGAGAGACGAAGGAATATGATTTTTCAAATAAATAGTAATCTCACATAGTTTTCATTATGAAGTTTTGTAATTTATTATTAAAATTCCTTCTGCCACATCTGCAATAGAAGCTGATACTGCTGATAGATTGAAAATGTCTACAGCACACACGATCATATTTCGTCAGCATGTCAGACCAGTCATCCCGTTTGATTGCATCATGAATCCAATCTGTATGCATTATTTTAGAAATTTCACGAGTATTTCTATTAGCTCCTATTGCAGAAGGAATTCCGATGAGAAAGCAGAGAAATTACCAAATTTCAAAATGAAAACAATATGTGAGTGACTATAATTATATAGTATAGGTACTTACTTTTAAATCATAATGTACCAACCGGATTCCTTCGTCTCATCTCGCTGCATTTTGACACCTTGTACAACCTTATTATATTTCGAAAATCTATTGGTCTGTATGGGATAATTCTGGATTTTTTTTTCGAAACAATTATTTTCCATAACCTATAACAGAACTGCTAATATATTATAACTCGCATTTTCACTTATTTACTTTTTGCTTTTTGTACACAGGGTGTTTTGAGAGTTCACGTGTTCGAAGCTCGACATCTGATGAAAAAAGACATCAGCATGTTGGGAAAAGGAAAATCCGATCCATATGCCGTCATCACTGTGGGGGCCCAAGAATTTAAAACGAAAGTTATCGATAATAATGTTGATCCCAAGTGGGACTATTGGTGCGAAGTAAGTAACAAGTACGACACTACACTGCATGTACGAAATACTATGAACACTGAACACATGAACACAGTATTAAATAAGGCAGTAGTAAATCAATGAATACCTAATAGAAATTTTGATTTCTTTTACACCTAGTGAACACAAAAAAATAGTACCTACCTACTTATTGATTTTCACCAAACTATTTTTCACCATTTTCTTTTGCGTTTCAATAGTTTCAAATACTTGAATCTAACGGACAACAACTATATATTCATGTGTGGGACAAAGATGATACAGGGGATGACGAAAACCTTGGAAGGTAAGAAAAGTATCTCTAGCATCGGTAGATACTTGTAAATAATGATTAGCTAGTTTTAATAACGCACACTGAGAGTTTTAATTTATTCAATCGTACACTGTACAAGATAAACTTGGTGTGTCAAATTTTTATTTCACCTATTTTCGAATTTCTCTAAATTAAAACTCTACTATCGCTCCCACTAATGCTGTTTGGTGTGCATGATATTTCAGCTTAATCACCATTTTTTTCGTCTTTTCTTTATAATGATACCTACTAACAAAATGTTTCTGCAGTGAGAGATTCAAATCACATTGAAAAAAAATTTACAGTGTTATACACTAAAATTTTTTCTACGTTTTAATCAAAAACGATGCTGAAACTATCATTGAAACATTGTATTGAAACATTGCGGAAGCATTATTTTTCATGTCCATAAATGCTGATTTTTTAATGTAGTTTCTAGTGGAATCAATAATTGGCATCGAACTTGAGATGCAATTGTTTGATAAAGACAAAGGACATAAGGATGATAGTTTAGGGAGGTAAACTTTCATCTTGGATTTTGTGTGTGTGTGTGTTTAGTTGAGATTTCTGTATATCTGATGTTTTCACTGACGATTTATCATGAAAATATTCGGAAGAGAAGGTGAATTCGAATTTAAATTTTGAATAACAAAAAGGGCAGTGGAGACACCATTCTTATAGACATCTTATAATTAGTTAGACATGTATGTTACATTATCTTCATTCATTGAATGTTGGAAGATATATTTTGATACTATCGTTTCATCCACATAAAAACTCTCATTTTCAAACAAGTATATTATATGTACAGGGGTTATCCATCGAGAAGGCCCAAACCTGGCACCCCTCACCCTGTAAAACTTTTGATAAGGGCTGTGAAAAGACCCCTTTACGGCATTCAACTTCCGCATCTTGTTTTTTGTTCTATATAAAATAAGGAAAATCTATAGGGGTGGGCCTTCTCGATAGATGAACAACACAAAATCATTTTCATCAACTATATATGTATGTACATACACACAACATTATTATTTTATACAAAAGAATGTCTAAAAAGCACTAGTATATGATATTATCAGTTGTTTCGTATTTTGAACTTCTCTTTTCTTTTATCTAGAGCCACCATTGAGGTTTCTAACATCGTCAAAAAAGGAAGCGATGATATAGTAAGAATACCAAACTAATATTCATTTTATATTTCACATTTTAGTTTTTCCTTGTAGTGGGTGACTCTAGAACAAGTCAAACATGGAATGGTACATCTCAGACTGACTTGGTTGTCCCTAAGTAAAAAGTACTCAGATTTGGATGCTGTAAGTTTTAAATAATTGTCACAACCTAGATATCATCTATATAAGAAGATTTTTTTTTTCAGATTATAAATGAAACGCAATTACTAAGAGCCTCAAATTTGAACACAGCATTGGTGACCGTATTTTTAGACTCTTGCAAAAATTTACCAGTAAGTTGAGTCGAAACAACTATGTTTTATATAGCCCGAATGTATAATTTTTTATGGCCTCTGATTATTTATTAATTCTTTCACCAAAATAGGGGTTACGAACAGATTGAAAAAAAAAACAGAACCCAATTGCATTCGTTGATTTTTTTCCATGTGCGATTCGGATGTCAATTTGGATTCCATTATTACCCCGAGATCTTCAACTTCCCATACTGGTTTCAGCTCATTTTCAATTTTGTATGTACGGGGTGTCCCAAATTGCTTGATTTTGGCAGTCTTCCCTTTTTCCAGAACAGCTAGGGAAAAACTGACCAAAGGGTCTAGAGCCCGATTTTTGTGGAACGTCGATTGGTGAAAACCGCATTTCGATATCTCTTAACCGTTTTCGAGATATGTATAGGTGAAAATTTACATTTGAACGACTTCGAAAATATGCCATAACATTTTTATTTCTGAATATTTTTCTAAACAGAAAAAACTTTCTACAGGCACTTTTTAACATAGAATGCCAAAAAAATATATCGCGTATCAATTGTTTGAAATTTGATTATTTCGTTTATATAAATTATGAACAATACTGGACCTAAGTGACTGCCTTGGGGAACCCCAGATGTTACTTGTAAGTATAATCTGAATAGAATCTATTATTTTGGTTTTAGCAAGCAAGAATGTCGACTAAACCCGACCCGTACGCAATTTTGAGAATCGGGAAAACCTCACAACAAACCAAAGTACTAATGCGCACTATCCATCCCGTGTGGGAAGAAGGTTTCACCTTTTTGACATCCAATCCTGAAAATGACTTGCTCTTCCTGAGCATCATGGATCAAAAAACCAACACCGAAATCGGCCAGCTGAACTTCAAGCTCAAAACCATAGTGAACAAAAACAACTTAGAGATCAAGAAGGAGCCATTCTCCTTGTTGAAGTCTGGACCGGATAGCAAAGTTGTGTGGTCCATGCACCTGAGAGTAAATAATTGGCAAGTTTGCCCTACATAACGCTCACTATTTATATCCTTGCAGATACTGAAAAGGACTGGGCCTACATTTCAAGAACTCATCGTTGGCGAAGAAGCAAGACCACTCAATAGAACCGATTCAAATATATCCAAAGCCTCTTTGAGTAAGTTCTTCCAGATAAACTGCTTCTTTCAAGTTTTCAAGTGTGATGTTGCAGGTGCGGCGAGAAATGAAGCCCAGTTTCAGCTGAACGAGGAATCAGCTTCGATCCAAAGTGAAGAAACTCCCCCAGTTGAAGATCTCATTGAAGATTCTTCCATCTCGCTTCTCAACAATGTACCACCTTCAGAAAACTCTGAGTTTCTTCTGCATCGAACACCCAGTGTAACATCGTGAGTGTTCACTGTGTATATCGAGCTTAGGTCTAATATGGTGTATTCCCCAAATTGAAAATTCTACAGAAGAGAGTAAAAACTGAGAAGGAATATTCTCAGATGAGTTATGAACACGAAAAAATGGATATACATATACATGGTAGCAGTGAATGAAATAAGTGCAAATATTTCAAACCTTGAGAAAGCTCGAATGACACCAATAAAAAATATATCGCTAGCAAAACCCCTTTTTCCACACAAAGTTCTACATTGTAGCAATTCTGACGTCACCTCTGATCGAATTTCTGTGCGGAACGAACAAATACGGGGAGTTCAATCATTTGAATTGTTTCAAAGTGGCGTATTTGATTTTTTTTTTTCTCCTTTTTCGTTCAATTTTCGGGATTTCTTGTTAATTAGAAGAATAGAGGCTCCATACGGCAAAAATTCACGCGATTCATCGCTTTTCCAGTAGAAAATAATAGGAGCACTCCGGTAGACTACTCCGTCTCCATTTTCCAAAATTTCTTGATTTCCACCACAGATTCGTTTATTTCGATATCGAATTAGTCTATGTGAATTTTTTCAGATTTTTATTAGGCCAAATGAAAATTTTCATTTTCCCAACTAAGACTTATATCTATACGATATAGTCACCGAGCCATCTTCGGACGGCCGAAAGTGCCAGAAAACTTCGCTTTTCCAGTAGAATATGACCTACTGAATCGAATGAGACTATGATCAGCCCCGTAGGACAGATAGTTTTTGAGAAATCGGCGCTCAAAGTCAGCTTTTCGCTTTTTTGCCAATAGGAGCACTACGGTAGACTACTACGTCTCCATTTTTCAGAATTTCCCGATTTCCACCACAGATTCGTATATTTAAATATCGAATTAGTCTATGTGAATTTTTTTCAGATTTTTAATAGGCCAAATAAAAATTTTCATTTTCCCACCTAAGACTTCCATACGATATAGTCACCGAGCCATCTTCGGACGGCCGAAAGTGCCAGAGAATTGCAGGAAATCACGCGAATTTCTGCTCCTCCAGTAGAAAATGACCTGCTGAATCGAAAGAGACCATAATCAGTCCCGTAGGACAGATAGTTTTTGAGATATCTGCGCTCAAAGTCAGCTTTTCGCTTTTTTTGACAATAGGAGCTCTACGGTAGACTACTACGTCTCCATTTTTCAGAATTTCCCGATTTCCACCACAGATTCGTACATTTCGATATCGAATTATTCTATGTGAATTTTTTCAGATTTTTAATAGGCCAAATAAAAATTTTTATTTTCCCACCTAGGACTAATACGATATAGTCACCGAGCCATCTTCGGACGGCCGAAAGTGCCAGAAAACGGCAGAAATTCACGCGAATTTTCGCTTTTCTAGTGAAAATGACCTGCTAAATCGAATGAGACTATAATCAGCCCCATAGGACAGATAGTTTTTGAGATATCGGCGCTCAAAGTCAGCTTTTCGCTTTTTTTGCCAATAGGAGCACTACGGTAGACTACTACGTCTCCATTTTTCAGAATTTCCCGATTTCCACCACAGATTCGTACATTTCGATATCGAATTAGTCTATGTGAATTTTTTCAGATTTTTAATAGGCCAAATAAAAATTTTTATTTTCCCACCTAGGACTAATACGATATAGTCACCGAGCCATCTTCGGACGGCCGAAAGTGCCAGAAAACGGCAGAAATTCACGCGAATTTTCGCTTTCCCAGTGAAAATGACCTGCTAAATCGAATGAGACTATAATCAGCCCCATAGGACAGATAGTTTTTGAGATATCGGCGCTCAAAGTCAGCTTTTCGCTTTTTTTGCCAATAGGAGCACTACGGTAGACTACTACGTCTCCATTTTTCAGAATTTCCCGATTTCCACCACAGATTCGTACATTTCGATATCGAATTAGTCTATGTGAATTTTTTCAGATTTTTAATAGGCCAAATAAAAATTTTCATTTTTCCACCTGAGACTACCATACGATATAGTCACCGAGCCATCTTCGGACGGCCGAAAGTCCCAGAAAACGGCAGAAATTCACGCGAATTTTCGCTTTGCCAGTGAAAATGACCTGCTAAATCGAATGAGACTATAATCAGCCCCATAGGACAGATAGTTTTTGAGATATCGGCGCTCAAAGTCAGCTTTTCGCTTTTTTTGCCAATAGGAGCACTACGGTAGACTACTACGTCTCCATTTTTCAGAATTTCTCGATTTCCACCACAGATTCGTACATTTCGATATCGAATTAGTCTATGTGAATTTTTTCAGATTTTTAATAGGCCAAATAAAAATTTTTATTTTCCCACCTAGGACTAATACGATATAGTCACCGAGCCATCTTCGGACGGCCGAAAGTGCCAGAAAACGGCAGAAATTCACGCGAATTTTCGCTTTTCCAGTAGAAAATGACCTGCTGAATCGAATGAGACCATAATCAGCTCCGTAGGACAGATAGTTTTTGAGATATCGGCGCTCAAAGTCAGCTTTTCGCTTTTTTTGCCAATATGAGCACTACGGTAGACTACTACGTCTTCATTTTTCAGAATTTCCCGATTTCCACCACAGATTCGTCCATTTAATTATCGAATTAGTCTATTTGAATTTTTTTCAGATTTTAATAGGCCAAATAAAAATTTTCATTTTCCACCTAAGACTTCCATACGATATAGTTACCGAGCCATCTTCGGACGGCCGAAAGTGCCAGAGAATTGCAGGAAATCACAGGACTTTTTGCTCCTCCAGTAGAAAATGACCTGCTGAATCGAAAGAGACCATAATCATCCCCGTAGGACAGATAGTTTTTGAGATATCGGCGCTCAAAGTCAGCTTTTCGCCTTTTTTGCCAATAGGAGCTCTACGGTAGACTACTACGTCTCCATTTTTCAGAATTTCCCGATTTCCACCACAGATTCGTACATTTCGATATCGAATTAGTCTATGTGATTTTTTTCAGATTTTTAATAGGCCAAATGAAAATTTTTATTTTCCCACCTAGGACTAATACGATATAGTCACCGAGCCATCTTCGGACGGCCGAAAGTGCCAGAAAACGGCAGAAATTCACGCGAATTTTCGCTTTTCCAGTAGAAAATGACCTGCTGAATCGAATGAGACTATAATGAGTTCCGTAGGACAGATATTTTTTGAGATATCGGCGCTCAAAGTCAGCTTTTCGCCTTTTTTGCCAATAGGAGCTCTACGGTAGACTACTACGTCTCCATTTTTCAGAATTTCCCGATTTCCACCACAGATTCGTACATTTCGATATCGAATTAGTCTATGTGATTTTTTTCAGATTTTTAATAGGCCAAATAAAAATTTTTATTTTCCCACCTAGGACTAATACGATATAGTCACCGAGCCATCTTCGGACGGCCGAAAGTGCCAGAAAACGGCAGAAATTCCCTCGAATTTTCGCTTTTCCAGTAGAAAATGACCTGCTAAATCGAATGAGACTATAATCAGTCCCGTAGGACAGATATTTTTTGAGATATCGGCGCTCAAAGTCAGCTTTTCGCTTTTTTTGCCAATAGGAGCACTACGGTAGACTACTACGTCTCTATTTCTCAGAATTTCCCGATTTCCACCACAGATCCGTTCATTTCGATATCGAATTAGTCTATGTGAATTTTTTCAGATTTTTAATAGGCCAAATAAAAATTTTTATTTTCCCACCTAGGACTAATACGATATAGTCACCGAGCCATCTTCGGACGGCCGAAAGTGCCAGAAAACGGCAGAAATTCCCGCGAATTTTCGCTTTTCCAGTAGAAAATGACCTGCTAAATCGAATGAGACTATAATCAGTACCGTAGGACAGATATTTTTTGAGATATCGGCGCTCAAAGTCAGCTTTTCGCTTTTTTTGCCAATAGGAGCACTACGGTAGACTACTACGTCTCCATTTTTCAGAATTTCCCGATTTCCACCACAGATACTTTCATTTCGATATCGAATTAGTCTATGTGAATTTTTTCAGATTTTTAATAGGCCAAATAAAAATTTTCATTTTCCCACCTAAGACTACCATACGATATAGCCACCGAGCCAACTTGAGGTGCTAGGGATCAATATGTTTCAGGTCTGCTGGAGAAGCTGGCTTAGGTAGGATTCAATTGACCCTTAGATACAGCATCCAAAGACAACGACTAATTGTTGCAGTGCACAAAATAATGTAAGTTCAGATCTCAAGGTTACTAAAAATGTTATTATTAATTTGATGTATTTTTTCTAGGAATATACCACTGAAGGATCCCTCGAATATACCGGATCCTTATGTCAAATTGTATTTGTTGCCAGAGAGAGCTAGGGATACCAAACGAAAAACACAGGTAAATTATAGATAACATCAACTTTTCTGGGCATAACTAACTTTGATTTTATAGGTTATCAAAGACAATTGCAATCCAATTTTTGATGAGACTTTCGAATATGTACTGAGTGAAGGGGAAGTAGGATCCAAACAATTGGAAGTTACTGTCGGTACCCAGAAGCAACTGTTTTATACGAGCAGTAATGTTTTAGGACAGGTGAGGCATCTTCTCCAAATGTTTCTTCCTTTTTCTAGTGAAACTTCTAGAACTTATTTATTGTTTTTTTCTTCAGGTTATTATTGACTTGGGACTACTGAATTTAACGCAACCTTACAATGTTTGGTTTGACTTGCAACCGGAATCTGAATAATTTGTATTTTCGAAATATTTTTGAATATGTGTTCTGGTCTTTGTCTCTCTCAATTTTTAAACTGTATTTAATCCTCTATTTTTCTGTGAAAGGTCGCTGGATCATTGAATGATCAACGATTTGCGCTAAACAAATATAGGTATCTATTTTTCGAATGCATTATTTGCAGATTCGTGCCCATACTGTATTGAAGTTGAATAAAACACGATTTTAAATTATTTTTCCATGAAAAGTTGCTAGATCAGTGCTATTTTTTGGAATTGCATAGGCTTTTTTATATTCTGTACTTAATTTAGCTGAAAAAATATAGGTATCTATTTTTCAAATGCATATTATTTACAAATATGTGCCCAAACTATATTGATGTTGAATAAAATACGATTTTAAATTTTATTCTGTCTAATTTCATTGTTAAGTATGTAAAAAGCTTCAATATCGGAGCATTTTCATCGCAGTTACATTTGAGGAAGTTTTAATCAAAATATGGCGTATATACCGAAATTGAATTTATAATGGACGCAAATTGCTAGTAAAGGTCAGTTTGTACAGTGAGCTGGCAACAAATAAAAAGTAATAATTCTGTCAGCCAGATTCAGCTCGAACATTGGAGGTGCTCCGAAATATCAGCAGAAAAAGGTAAAATTGTCGAAGAGAATATGTGTGACCTATACTCTTAAGCAAATACTTCTCACATATATTCGAACAACTTGATTTTTTACATCAATCTATCAATCAACCAAATTTATTTAACTCTCGTTGCATTCAATTCCCCTAGCATATACAATTGTTATGTCATAACAAAAAAAAAATGACCACTGCTCTTATGATCAGAATACAAATAAGTTATAATTCAACAAAAAATAATTAAAAGCTAGTAGCATGTACCAAACCAAAAACATTTTACATCAATGCAGTTTTCACTTTTTTCGCCCCTCTTGATTCTGTCATGCATATGTGCACGAGCCAAAAAACGTCAAGAAATGAGATTAAAAGAAAAAATTTGAATAAAATTTTTACACAAGTTCGACCTTTTCGATTATTTTCTTCAAATTTTCGATCGTATAACTGCGTCGTTTTTTATACACTGGATGTTCCAAAAACATTCCGAATTCCCACAAACCTCAAGGGAGATACGGAACATCAAAACAAACATGTATTTATCCGATTGAATAATCAATTCTTGATCTAATGCCTCTCGTTAAACAATGTTTTGTTGCAATTACATTGTCACTCGACCAGAATGAATATTTCTTTATCATAATAAACATTCGGATGATGCCGGTTTTGAGATCATCGTATATGTTGAGGATTGTTTATTCTGATTATTTCAAAATATGTTAAACGATCACTGTCTGTAGGTTAATCGAGGAGGTGGTACATTCATTTTATAATTTTTACTTAAGTAAGTTTTGTTTTGGCTAATAAACAGTTTTCCACATTGTGACATACCTGATGGCAGTACCACTTTATTGAATCATTAGTTTTAATAACTTTGTGACAACACTTTTCTTTAGACCACAACAATCTATGTGAAACATTAATTTACAAAAGCCGTTGCAGACAATATAATTTTCGTCTGTGATTATACTATCGCACTTATAGCAGGAGCGATCCGATGGATCGTCCCACTATCCGACATCTTGCTAGGCTTATAAAGTCCTATTTCCAAGAAATACACATATTCTAACAGATTCTCACCTTTCATGACTAATGAGTAATAATCAAACATTCAATCGCCCCCTCGTATAACAATAAGTGGTCAACGCACAACTTGTAACGTGACTTGAGCGTGTAAACTAGCTGCGTGTGGTGATTTCAGGTCGGTGATCGCCGATCGGGTCTATATTCACAGTAAACCCTGGCCCATTGTGATTTCCTGCATTGATATTTTTCAACTGCTTCGTGTGTGTTGTGCTTGTGTTGTTGAAAGTAAGCCAGTAGGTAGCTAGATATGTCATTAGCAGGAAGAACTTCGAATCGTTACCAGTACGAAATACGAATTGAGTGAATTGATGAAAATATAAATTTACGCGCTACTGTATAGTTCAGTTTTAAAATCTCAATAACATTTTGGTTGTAGATAATATAATATGTTTTTGATACATTGAGATGCATGGTGAGTATTAAGTAATCAAATACGAAGTAGCTACGAACCATAGGAATGATAAAAGGATTACGACTGAACAGTATGACCACTTGACCAGTCATAATAATTAGCTATTACTAATTGATATTGGTAATGGTGGAGTTATATAGATTCAACTTAACTAAGAATCAACTATTAAATTGAGAATCTATGACAGCTGATTGGTCCATTTGAATTATTGAACCAATCGATCAGTTTTTTATCATTTTCTTTATAATTTACTTAATTGTCAATTATTAGTTTAGTTGAATCTATATTATACAGGCAGAAGAGATTTGATGGGCAAAAGTATATGCAACGACCTAACCAAAAATAATAATTGATTCAGCTACTGTAGCACAACGTATTTTTTTTCTGTAAATATGACATATATTAAAGTCATGTTTGATATCAAAACAACAGTGAGATGGAAATTGACTGACTTTTTGATTTGGTAGTGAAAAATAATATTATCAATCTTTTTTATTCAATCTGTTCTCGAGATGAATTATTTTATTTAAAATTCCAGATCATCTCCAAAGTCGCATATAACTTTCCATGTAATAGAATATTAATATATTATCCACCCCATATAGTCTGGATAAAACTACCCCACATGTACCTCGTATAGGAAAAATTTGATTTCCGTTTCGTGTCACGGTCGGGTGCGTATTACCAGAACACTTCAGACACTACTTCATAGTAGTGTACTATGATCACGACTATGATGTCATAATGAAACGAAAAGAACACACAGAGCAACAAAAAATGTTGTCATGAAGGATACTAAAATCTCTTTCCAAATGCAGTTTAACGAACTTTATTTTTTGTACATGAAACATCTTTAGATATACGGTACAATTCATGACATAAAGAGAAAACAACACTTTGTCAGTAAGTATTATAGAATGAAAATTAGGCGAAAAATTTCAAAATCCGATCTCGAAAAATTGAGAGGGTACATCATGCATTGGCAGTTTTGTGTACTTACTTCTCTTCACATAAAAAATTAGTTAGTACTTTTGAATTTAAAACAATAAGGAAATCACTTTTCTTTCTAATAGAGCCAATTCCTTTCCTAATCAGTTATGAATCTCCATTTTACTGGTGTAGTAATGAAATTGATTAGATATTTTCGTATTTCTTGAGAATTTGAATTTTTTTGTAAATTTAAAAAGACAACTTTTTCATTATTGAAGTGCTAAGCACCAGAGGTTATTTTAACGAAGCTACAAAACTGTGTTAGCAAAACATGGGTGTTAAAGAATTTTGTGGAAATCTAATCGTTTGTGAAGTTTTTACAGTCATCATATATTTCACATTCTTATTGATTCTATGAAAAATACTACGCCTAGGTATAATCCATTATTTTATCAGATAAACTATATATACATCGATACTGAATATTAACCTATATCCTATATAAATTTCGACTCATATTATTTCTCAATTATTGTAGGTAAGAGAAAATGATTCTAAGGAAGCATGTACACCAAAATCGAGAATGAAAATTTGATTATACAAATATTGACAAAGGTGAGACTGCAGTGATCTTTAATTCTTCCTCACAATAATTTTCAAGTTTGTCCTATATATTCATTAAATAAGAGAGTATTAATGTCATTTTTCAGTTGATTTTATATAACCTCATATACTTCATCGGATATATGAACTGGTCCCTAACATGGATTCTCATACCGGCAATACTTGGTATTATCGCTGATCAGAAAAAACTAAGAATATGGAAAAGATCGTACTTTGCAAGGAAGGCATGTAGTGGCAACGAGAAGGATGTGATTTTGGAAACCATGAAAGAATTACCTGCATGGGTAATTATCAATACTTACTCTATACTCTATAATATTTAGATGCAATAACTTTATACAGTGTGTGGTCCAAATTCTATAATTTTTTTTAATGTTCAGCTATTCATATTATTATTAATACTTTGTAAATTCTCCATAAATACATTTATGAAGTTCTTTTTAGTCATCAATTGAAAAAAAAATAATTCAAGTACACTGGTGAAGATACTCCTGAAGGTGCTCTGTAAATATTTGTAGGTACTTTTCCCTGATGTTGAAAGAGCTGAATGGCTTAACAAGATTATAAAGCAATTCTGGCCATTTGTCAATTTTTTCACCAAAGACATGTTAACGAATTTTGTCGAGGCCAAGTTGAGAAAAAATTTGGAGAAATATTCGTTGAAAGGTTTCCATTTCGAAAGAATTGTTTTAGGAAGTATGGTAAAGTACATACCTACACATTATTAATTTTTCGTATTGTCATCAAGTTTTTTTCAGCCCTTCAGATTAGGAGGTATCATAGTATACGAGAACGTGTGCAGAGATGAAGTAGTAATTGATATCGATGTTTCGTAAGTAAACCTATAAATATGTCATACATAATATTTACAAGAACGACCCAAGAAAACACTGTTCAACTTCAGTTTTACGTTTTTTCACAATGTTTTCGAAAAATTTTGCCGCATTATCAATACTTATTGTTTCACAAATCGAACCAAAGGAGACTAGGTATAGAAAATCATTTATTTCAGTTTCTACATTTACTGGGTCATATTTATTATTATCGAGGTTCATTATATTGACCATTAAAATTGAGAACAGGTGAACTTTGTTTCTTCATGGTAGATAATTATTCTTTTTCAGATATGCTGGTGACTGTGACGTGAAATTTCGCTTGAGAGGTCTTCTAGGAGGGATCAAGAATTTCCAGGTCAGTAGTCCAATTAAAATGATGAATTTAGGCCAAAATAATCATTAGACTAATCATATATCTCACGTTTACTTTTCACAGCTTTATGGAAAATTAAGAGTTGTTTTGAAACCTCTAATCCGGAAGCTTCCACTAGTTGGTGGGCTAGAAGTTTTCTTCTTGAATAAACCAGATATCGACTTTGAATTAGACGGAATAGCAGGAATTCTGGATATACCAGGAATCAAGTGAGTGTCCCATGCAGATCTATTTATGTAAAGGGTGATTTAATTTTGACGAGCAAATAATTGGTCTCTCTCCTAATACCCTTCAATTTGTAAGGTACAATAAGGCGTTGAATATATTCATGAAAGGTTTTTATTCAATTTTGAAACACTGGATATCAGGCGTATATTCCTTGACCGAATAACTCCATCAGGTATTTTGAGGTATTTACTAGGATTTATCATATTTTGTTCTAGTGAATCATTGAGGAAATGTGTAAGTGCTACAGTATCATCCCTCATGGTGCTACCAAATAGATTTCCGGTCAAATTCAGCAAAGAAGTTAGCAGTGATAAATTAAAAACGCCTCATCCCGCTGTGAGTAATTTATTCCCTCCTCCTTATAATCCAACTGATTATGTAATTTCTGGAATATACATGAGAAGCTGAATTCGAAAATATATTAAACATCAAACTTAGGGTTCGTATATACAGTGATGCGTCCGTTGAATTAAGTGCTCTCTTATGTTTATAAATTGTTTTATTGTCACATTTGAGAAGAAATTGAATATACAGGGTGATTCACGTTTGAGTAATGACGTCCACGACATTTTTCTTCATATGGAACACTGTATTTTTTAATTCTAAGGATCTCTATGGAAAGCTTAATTTAAAAATATATTACACATAGGTTTAGTATACAATGCGTTCGATGCATTTTGTGCTCTCGTAAGGTAGTGGATAACTTCTTTGAAAATCAAAGAAATGATTTTTGTAAAGAACGCTCGATGCCTCTTTGAAATCTATTGTGATTCGGGCATTCCTTCAAATTCAATTAATATATACAGAATGATTCGTGTATGAAGAACTTACGTCATCGGTATTTTTCTCCATTTTACGAGACCACTGAATTTAATGGATGCACTGTATACAACCCTATATGTCATATATTTTTGCATCCAGCTTCTCATGCAGATTCCTAAAATTGAATAATATACAGGGTGTTTTATTGAAAAACGGACGTAATAACCCAAACGTGGATCACCCTGTATATTCGATTTATCCTTTCAAATGTGGAAAATTGAAAATACAAATCGACCTATCTCAGAAATAGATAGTTTGGCTAAAAAAGAATTTATGAATTTCCTTAAGAGAGCGTTTAATTCACTTCATATATGAACCCTAAGTGTAATATATTTTTGAATTTCGCTTCCATGGAGATTTAAAAAATCCCGTTTGAAAAAGTAGTCGCGGACGTGATAACTCAAACGTGGATGACCCTGAATATTTGATTTTTCCTCATAAATGTGGCAAATTGAAAATAAAAATCTACCTGTCTCAAGAGAAATAAATAGTTTGACACGGTTTAGGGAATCTTATTGTTCCCTCAACTGTGGTTGAATTGCTGTGAATTTATTCAGTACTTTAGGAAAGCGCTGTATTTACATGTCCAGTTGATTTAGTTCCATCTGTTCATTCAAATAGTATCAGGAAATTAATTCATCACGCTGAATGTGTAATTGTTTATATAATTCAGAAGGTTTATTACTTTTCCTGTTGGTGTAATTAATTTCGCAATGTAATTTATTTTCATACTTCCCACATATAGTATATTTTTATTCAAGGGAGTTCTGAGAGTACACGTCATTGAAGCTAAAAATCTTCTAAGAAAAGATCTAACCATAACTGGCAAAGGAAAATCTGATCCTTATGCTATCCTTGTAGTAGGCGATCAGACTTCAAGAACAGAAACCATATCTTGTACTGTCAATCCAAAGTGGGATTATTGGTGTGAGGTAAGAAAATCGATGTTAGAAAACACCAATCATATTATGAATATTTTTCAGTTCATCATTCTAGAATTTACTGGCCAAGAAATTCATGTCACCCTATGGGATGAAGATGCAACTGAAGATGAGTTCTTAGGAAGGTAGGTAGGTTTTTTTCAACTACCCCAATATCTTTCTTGAAGTCATTGATAACTGTCGCATTTTTTTTAAAGGGTAAACATTGACATATCGCGGTTGATAAAAGCTGGCCAGAGTGACTTGGTAATGAAAAATATTCTCCCCTACTTCTCCATCCCTAAAATCTAATTTTTACTTCAGTGGTTGACTCTGGATGACGTGAAACATGGAAAAATCCACCTCCGTTCAACATGGATGACTATGACAACAGATTATGGGAATTTGCAGGCAGTATGTGAAAGTTGAGAAATAGATGAATAATAAGTATTGAAACCTTTGATCATGTTTAGGCTCTTTACGAACGACAGCAGCTTCAACTTGCTCACATGAGTTCAGCACTGCTCATAGTGTATATCGACTCTGCCACCAACTTGAGGGTAAGAATCTGAAAATTTCTGAAAATAAATACAAGATCATTTGAATTGTCACAAAAGATCATACAGTCCAACACATCTGAAAGTACCTTGACTGTATATCATCATTTATACAAAACTTTAGTGCAATGAAAAATGGCGACAAAGAAATTACCTCTTCAGGAATATTTCCTTGCCTGATGCAGAAAAGAGTCTAGACTCTAGTAGATTGAAAAATTAAATACACTTACGTGTCTTCAATTCTCAAAATGCTTGTATTATTCTTGTAATAACCTGTTACATATGAGTCTTGAACTTCTGAATTATTGAATTGCCTAAAACTACATCTTTAAACAGTGTGACAGTTTATACAAATCAGTCTCTTATTGTCTGGGGTTTCAATATAGTACAATTGCTAGCATCTAACTTTCTGGAATTGAATTGCCTGATACAGAAAAGAGTCTAGACTCTAGTAGATTGAAAAATTAAATACACTTTTACGTGTCTTCAATTCCTAAAATGCTTGTATTATTCTTGTAATAACCTGTTACATATGAGTCTTGAACTTCTGAATTATTAAATTGCCTAAAACTACATCTTTAAACAGTGTGACAGTTTACACTAATCAGTCTTATATTGTCTGGGGTTGCAACAAAGTACAACTGCTAGCATCTAACTTTCTGGAATTGAATTGCCTGACACTTCTTCTTGCTTGATTCAGGAAAGAGTCTAGACTCTAGTAGATTCAAAAATTCAATACACTTACGTGTCTTCAATTCTTAAGATGCTTGTATTATGCTTGTTATAACATGTTACATTGGAGTCTTGAACTCCTGAATTATTAAATTGACTAAAACTACATCTTTAAACAGTGTGAAAATTCACAATAATCATTCTCATATTGTCTGGGGTTGCAACATATAGTATAACTGCTAGCATCTAACTTTCTGGAATTGAATTGCCTGACACTTCTAAATGAGTATATCGTACGAGTTTTGTAATTTTGGTCCGATTCTATTCAAAATTGGTATCTGGGGATTTTCGAGGTCGGAGATTGTGATTCTTTCGTCAGAATTTGAAGAAATTCGGGCGGAATTTGGAAATCCAATATTCTGATTGGTGGACGATGGCTATAGCTACCAAAAAAACAGAGACTTAATGGAATTGAATTGTTTTTCAGTTTAGAATGACATTTCATCGAATTTGTAGAAACTAGGAAACAAATTCTGAAATACTCAGCAACTATACTGAAGCAATTGCTATAAGAACTATTTGTTTCTGAATTTCCCACAAACTGCTGATAGTAAGATGTTGAATTTCGAAGCTTGAATTTTATGAATCTGTAACCGTAACCATTATTCTGTCTACTGTCCCATGTATTATTATTCTTAGATCATTTGTTTCTATGAGACATATTTCGAAAGGGGCAGTTGCTTCACTGCTATGTAATTGATGTGATGTTTTTTCTCTTTAGCAAGTGAGGTCCTCAACGAAACCAGATCCCTTCATACAGCTCCACCTAGGAAGACAAATGAAATGCACAAATGTCATGATGAGGACCGTAAATCCAGTATGGGAAGAAGGATTCATCTTCTTGGTGGGAAATCCGGATTCCGATTACCTAGTCTTGAAAATTATCGATTCAAAAACTGAAGCTGAACTAAACGAAATTACATACAGGATAGGCCAGCTGAGCAATGAAGAAAATTTGGAAATAACGAATGAATCTATGAGACTAGAGAGTGGCAAGAATGATTCAAAGTTGATATGGTCGCTACATCTGAAGGTAACTCCATCAGCCTATAATAATTTATCGTGTCATTGAATGTCCTTTTTCCAGATTTTCCAGAACGAAAATTACCAGGAATACCTGGAAAGAAGACCATCCCTAAGTTCGGTCTCAACTACGAGTAATTTTTCACATGGAAGCACTGAAAATGCTTAATAATACATATTTTTTTTATTATTCAGGTATAGATACTTTGGAGAAGGAATGCTCAGACAGTTCTATATCAAGTAGTAGCTCAAGACCTTCGATTGATGATTTTGAGAGGACAAAAGATTCCGCCAGATCTTCGAGTAGATCCAACAATAGCAATAGGTAATCCAAATTGAAAAAAACTGCACTTACCTATATGTCCCAACATTCACAGGAAGTTCACGTAATGCCTAAACTTTCGTGACACCTATTTTTGATGAGACCAAAATTTCCAGAGATCCAATTTTGCCAACTCTTCACTTTGCATGGCTTCCACTTCTTGCATTATCTAATTTCAAGCTTCATAACAGTCTAAGCTGGAACTCAACTGAGGTTAAAGTAAATTTTGAATGTTTCAGAGTTTTTCATGAGAACTTGGGGGAAGTTAACCTGACATTGAAGTACAACGTTTACAGGCAAAGGCTGATTGTCTTAATACATTCGGTCAGGTAATTTTGGTAAAAATGGTTGTTCAATATGAATGGTAATAATTATCAAAAATGTTTTAGTAACCTTCATTTTGAAGAACCAAATGAAGAAAAGGATATTTATGTCAAAGTGTATTTACTACCAGAGAGAATCAAGGCCAACAAACAGAAAACAAAGGTAGTTCAATATAAGATTAAACAAGAAGTATTGTCATTTTGGGTGGTTTTTTTAGGTTATAAAGGGGTGTAAAGAACCGGTATTCGAGAAAGAATTAGAATTTTTGTTGTCTCAAGATGAGCTCGATTCCAAATATTTGGAAATAACTGTGATAGAAGAGAAGATGATAAAGAATGAAATTCTAGGACAGGTAGGTAATGTACGACCGAAACTTTCAATGTAGATAATATTTCGGATTTTTTTCAGGTGAACATTCTGCTCAAAGATCTTGATCCTCCATATACAGGCAGCTTCAATTTAAATCCACGAATCAAGAGCGATTAATTTCACAATATAAGGACTGTTCCTTTGTATTGCTGAACTTGCTGAAGTTGATTTTTTCCCATAGTTGTCTCTGTTCATGGCATAATGTAAACAGAGAAAGTCATAGAAAAAAGCTTTAGCAGGTACAGCAAACACAAACGAACATGCCAATACAATGAAAGATGTATAAAATATCGATAGCATTGCGGCTATCAATAAACTGATGAAGAGTTCACAGTTACCAAGACATTTCTGATACAAAAAGAAGCTCATATGATGAAATATTAGTACCAATGTAGACTATAATTTTAGTTATTTATTATTATTATATATTATTATTATATATTATTATATATTATAATATATATTTAGTTGGTTAATATTATTTCTCATTGGTGCCGGGAGAAGTCCAACAAAGACTATCCACACTTATAAAAAAAAAATGAATTAAGGTTTTTCAATTTTGACACTAGCAGAGTGCAAAGTTGACCAAAACGTTGTAAAATGAGGTTACTTGGGACAAATTCACTTTTTTTTCAATAATATGGTAATTTATGGTTTTTAGGGACGCAAAGCAATAATTCCAGTGTACAAAATTTCTTTCATATGCATTCAACCTATAAAGCTCCTAATGTAAGAACATTTGTAAAAAACAAATACTGACTGTTCCAAGTTAGCTGGGACTGTATCGGTTTTACACAGAAAATGCATGTTAAATTACTCTCAGATTACTTAGTGGGACAGCAGAAAAATAAAAATAATACACCAGCACACATCTTGAGTTGAGTCCAGAGGGAAGAATAATCTGAATTAATATTTATTTATTTATTTATTAGAAAAATGCTAAAATACTTGAATAAAGAATGATGGGGATACATGTAACACAGTTTAACGAATTTTTATCGTAAAAACCAGAAGAAACTAAAAAAATGGTTGTCCCAAGTTACCCAAGACTTATTTTAACAAAATGTTTCAAAATCAAAAATTGTTCTAAAAGCAGACAACGACATTGGCAGTATTTATAAAGCATACAAAACTAACTAAAAAATGTAATTGGGCTTACCTGTTTACCTTTTGACTACCTCTTTCAGATAAAGTTTTTGACCACTTATTTTTTGCCTTATTGCTTCTCACCACCACTTATGTTTTTTTATACATATGAAATATGATTAATTCATGAAGAATTCGTTAAATTACTCATCAACAGGTTGCTCTTCAATTAACCAAAATATTAAATTGAGGTGATGTTTATATTTGCTTTGTTACTCGAGATATTCAAGTTCAAATCCATTGACTCCGAAAAAGGAAGAAGTCTATTTGCAGAATATTCCTGCACATTTGTAAATTGTTTTCTGGTAATTGTCTGAGCTTTCAATCGTTATTCTTCTTTCCAATCATTGAGAGAATTAAGTGGCTGCAGCAAAATCTTCCAAACAAATGGATTTTGCCCAGCTTTCTCGCCGGACTTGTCATTGAAATCCTACTGACCTGGACAATTTTAAGAGAAGATTTATGATTGAATGCCAGGCAGATCCTTCATAGTCCATTTGGTACATTTGGTCAACAGTTGTTCAAATTCAAAAAACTTCAGAAAACGATTGTTATTCCTTATTGAAATCATAGAGAGAGTTGTTCGACGTGTTTTTGAAGATTATTTGTAAAATCATTTTTTCGGGAGTGCTTCACCTATCCTTAATATATTATATTTATCAATTTCAATTTGACACAATTTATGTGATAAATACATTGAGAAGCCAAACATTTTTTATGCATACCGATGATCATTACCTATTCTATTTTCAAACTTCTATAGTAGAATAGACAATGTACAACCAAGGTCGAATTGAAAAAATACACTTAGGTATATACATCGGGTATAAATAACTTATGATCTACTATGCGAAAGTTCACTAGGAATGCATAGCCGGGGAGATTAGAAAAAATAATTCAGAAGACTTTTTTTCTTGGATGCTGGTCCCGTTATTGTTCTGACTTGGTTCCTACTCATCTCGAGTAGTTCTTCAGATTTATTTTTCGACGGTTATTTAATGAATACTTTCCCGTCCATCGCTCCTTATGTTTTCGCTTGATCCAGTCTCGTATGTAGCCTAGGGTAGCTGTTTTTGTAACCCCGAGTACGGGTTATGGGCCAATGTATGGAATTGATGAGCCGGTTCCTGCCAATTCATCAGCTTTTTAGTTCCCTACGATGCCGCAATGTCCTGGAACCCATAACAGGGTAATTTTATTATGTTCTGACAGGGGATTGAGTTTCATCTGCATTCCCGTACCACTCTGGATGTCACTTTCTGGTTCGTGAGAGCATGGTGAGAGCGTTCAGTGATGCCTGGCTATCAGTGCATATTTTGATTCGTGCATTGCGCACTTCCCTGATGTTGTTTGTTCTTACACATTGCAAGATTGCGTACATTTCCGCATATAGGTATAATTTATAATTGGGGAATAACAGCTAGGAAGAGTGATCGAATTTTCGAAAACACAGTGGATATACCTATCAACATTTCCAGAAAATTCTGACTGCTGACAGATCATCAGGCTGCATCGCCTTTCTATAACTTAGTATTATTAGATTCTAAATTTTCAAGTTCAACTTTCAATTATTCTAGACTACCTTTTATATATGGCCAGTTTGTCAGTATTATGCGGTGATAATATCAAATTTAAACTTCAATTAGGTATACGATCTATATATTTAATTTTTCTGCGCAAGGAACTCTGGTACGGCCTTCACTCCTTATTCAATAGAATTAGTATTGAGCCAATATACACAATGATAAAATTGATAGGTGAACAGTAATAAATCTGTCAAGAATGAGTAAGACAGAGTAAGACATTATAATTTCTTTATTTATTTTTAGACGGAATAATGTGAACGAAAAGAATCTCTCAAGAATTTTAAGAACGTGTTTATTTTAAAGTTGCAACCATCAACTCTACCGCGTTAAACTAACGTGGCCAAACAACTTAATGTAAATCGATTCAGTCTACTCAAGTCAAGTCACAGTATATTTTACTGATTGATCGGTGGCGTAGAGGTAGGTTGCAAACGCGAGTTTGTTCTTTATTGCGCTTTGACTTTGTGACAGTTTATTGCGCGTCTGCAAGCTTGGAAATTCGTTTGTTTATTTATTATGTTGACGTAATGTTGTAATTTAACGGTTCCGCTACAAGATCCATTGTGTTCCGATGCATCTCTGTTGTATTAAGTAGAAAATACTGAATGGCTTCCATGTTGAATATTGTATAAGTGTTTTAGAACTTCGTAAAGACAGAGACAGGATTGAAAAAACTGACGAGCGGAATAACGGTAAGTTGAAGGCTGAATCACACGCAGAAGTATAGCGGCTTTTGTAATAGCAAAATGATGCTGTCACCTGGTCTAGGTCTACCTATATTGTTGCATAGAGAATAAGGAATTTGATTCGTCTGGAAATGTCCCACATCCACGACATGGTGCCTACCTATTTACGAAAGCCCAAAATAAATGTTAATTCAAGGGAATCAAATCAGGCAACCTTGCAGGCCATATTATAGGTGTTATCACATAGCAATCATAGCATCTGTAGTGTACCGAAGCGAATTTCCAAAATGCTATTCTTTATTATATTAAAGTACCTATATATATATAAGTATGAAGTTCACTGAACGAGACGTAGGTACCTATTATATTGCAAGATAAATGTCAACCAAACGAAAAAACGGTTCAAAATTCCGTTTTTTCTTGTTGAAAATGATTATTTTTACTCGCATGAGTACATATATATATAATTGATGAAATAGGTAGTTTCATAAATAAGCTTGAAAAACAGTCCAGCATCAGACCAAATTCGACTCGAGATAATTTACATGGCGCCAACAAGTCGCTGGTCCACCACTAGATAACTGTGACCAGAGTATCCGAGAATATATTTACGAGGAGCAGTCAATAATTAAATGGCGAAAGAATATCATATACCTTTTTCCGAAATGTTATGTGTCTCAAGAATTAAAACAAGGAGCCAAAATGAGACTATTATAAATTTTCAAGTTTAAATATTATTTCATTCAAACATGTTGTCATGCGGATGAATCGAAGAAACTGTCGCAAAATTCCGTTGGAAAGTTGATGGAAATTCATCAAACTGTTGAAATAAAATGCGCATTCTTAAATCGCTTTGCGAGAATCCAGCGATTTGAAGGAGACTGACATAACAATTAATTGGCACATTTCAAGTATATTTATTAAAAATACCGAGGATTTTTTCTTCTTCGATGGAATGAAAAACACGCCCATAGCCTAGAATTAAGTAGAATAAGTAGAGTCTTCAGCAGGAGGAAGTTTTCTCAGATCTGAATACAGGACGATGACAGCTTAATCTTCAATATTCTGCGAAAAGATATAATATATTTGTATAAATATCGTAGAAATAACTGATTACCTCTATATCTATCTGTTATGTTCCATCCTTATTGATGGCATCGTCAAAAATATCTGTAAGATCATTCAATCCGTTTTAGGAGTACCTATAAATGGCATTTAATTTTATTTTATTGCAGACTATTTATTATTGCAATAAATAGTCAATCAGTCAGTCATAAAAAGGTGTATAGGATACCCTCTATGAATTACTATTAGCATGTGATTTTATGTTATAACCCTACAGAAATATTGAATATCTGTGACAGTACCTAATTTCTACCTATATTACTTATGTAGGCACATAACCTTGCTCTGTGGTAGGTGTATGTATGTACATATTTCGCGAACTTGTTTTTTAAATGATACCAAGCAGAAGCGATAATGGGTTGGGAACGTAATTAACTTTCCTGAATAATAATTTCAGCCAGTGGCGTACGCAAATATGACAAAAATAATAGAAAGCATTCACATTTATTATAATTGAAAAAAAATGTTGTTCGAAATGGTAGTCGTCGTATTCAATAAAAAAGCATACCTACAAGTATAAAAAAGAGAAGTTTACGGCATATGTCTCATGTCCTGAGATCAAAATTACGTCACAAAAAACCTTTTATTTTGAAAACTGATTACATATATACAAAAACATCATGTAAAATGTGGGCCAAATTAGTGACATTTGCCAAATTTTTGAACTAGATAAATATGGCAACCGAGATGACAACTGGTATCGGTGACTGTATAAGGGTCAAAGTTATTTATGATACTACTTAGTTCATTTAATTCAGGACTCAATATGGTGTTTAGTTTTTAAAAGGCTAAACGCATTTTTTTACAAAAAATGTTTTGTGTCCATGGAAACATTATTAAATCATTGAGATTGAAAACAGAAAGCCGCGAAAAACGTTTGCCATAACATGAGTTTTAGCCATTTTTCAAATATATGCTCATTATTGAAGAACTCCTTGTAACTCAGAGACGATGATAAGTATCGATATGCGGTGAAAAATTCCCTCTTCAAAGACCTACGTTCACTTTCGAATTTCGAATATTTTGCATGGGTAAATTATTTGCAACACACGCCACTGTCATGTTTACACTCCTTACTGGCGAATTAAAAATCGATAGTAGTTCAGCCAGGAAAACAACATCTTTTATTCCATGTCATCCTCTACCTATCCCTCTATATTTCCCGTCCCCAAACAAAACCAAGTTCCAGGCTTCGTTCAATAAAAATCATTCCCTATCAGCACTTATTATTCTACCTTCAAGCTCTCTAACATTAACATCTGAACCTACACATTACCTTGAACTAGACCTCTCTAATATCATCAATTATTATTGTACTAATTGATATCAAAATGGATTTTTCAAGGCAACATGGACAGGCTAGTGGCTACAGCGACATCAACAACTGTGAACAAAATTGATAACAGCTCTAACAGCAGCAGCAAAAATGGTGATGATGAAGAAGACTCTGACAGCAATGGACAGCAAACCTGTGTGAACAACGGAACTAATAAACACAAAGAAAACATGTGCAAGGTCAAAGATATAACGATAAGGATCGCCAAAAGGGTAAGTGTCAATAAAAGTTCGTGGATGATTTAGCCCCAGTGGCGTATGCATAAGGTAATAAGGCGAGTGGATTAATTTTTTTTATTTCTCATATAGAATCATCACCCAAATACCTTTCGATTTCATATTTATTTAGAATTTTTCGGTCGATTTTCAAGTGCTAAAATAATATCAATATTATGCCACGGTAATTTCCAAACGCATAGAAATTTACCGCGAGTAGAAACTTGCTTATTGCTTTATAATACATTTGTGTAAATAGTAATAATGTTAATTCACACTAGAGGGCATTTGAAGCGGTGAACGTGACAACACCGCGCGCACTCCTTGTGGGCGTGGTCTTGTCCCTTCTCAGCATTCAGCACAATATTGCCAAGTCTCCAACATTTACATGAAATTTTGTTATGGAGTATATTTGGACATACTGGTTGCTCGAAAGAGTCAAGAATGAACTATTATATCATGATGGGTTCCTCCTAATATGTTTTCAACGACAGGACTCTTACATCTTTTTGATAACTTGATTGGAATTAGTGACTTGATAACCTTGCTTCGTGAGTGGGAATGGAAGATTATCTGACCAATAACGAAGCAGCATAAAGCTGAAGTCACCATTTATTCGACGTATCGCCAAATAGTGGCCATGACTATGGACTATTTGTGAAAATGACAATTTCATTTCGAGTAGCTATTTAGTATTTATGACAATGAAAACAATTTAATTTCAGGCTGCCTTATTCATGGTAGGCTATTTAATATGCTACTTCAATTGGTCGCTTACGATACCAATTTTAACCATATGCACACTAGTATGGTTTGAAACTAAAACTTCGGACAAAAGTAGAAAAATTTCGAGTAAATCGAAGGCCAGTTCGATGACTAAAAAACATTTGATGAAAGTTGTAGACGAACTGCCATCGTGGGTAAGTGATAGCCAATCACACTCGATCATAGGAGTAATTTTTAAAATAATCTTTCAGGTAACATTTCCTGACAGAGAGAGAGCAGAATGGTTGAATGAGGTAAGGAAATGTCTGAAGGAAAAAATATAGTTCTTACGATATTGAATTGTTTAGATAATAGCACAGTTGTGGCCTAGTATTAGTAGTTTTGTTGTGAAAAAATGCAGAGGATCTCTCCAAACGAAAATCAGGAAAAAATTTGAATCTTTCCGATTTGAAGATATCGACTTCGGCTCAACAGTGAGTAATTTTGATTTATTTTCCCAAAGTTCTTCAATTATTTGATAAAATCTTACAGCCTCCGAAAATAGATGGTGTTAAAGTTTATAACAGGACAATAACCAAAGACTCCATTATTATTGACTTCGATGTTTAGTAAGTTGATAGTTTTGATATCTATTACGATATAATAAACATATTTTATTCCAGTTACGATGGTGACTGTGACATAAAATTTTCCATGTCTGGTACTCAAGTTGGTTGTGTTAAAGATTTCCAAGTAATTCCCAAAGAAATTAATGTTTCCATTTTTTGATCAAACATATTTTAGGTGGGCGCTGAACTGAGAATAGTACTGAAACCGCTTATGATAAAAATGCCAATAATTGGTGGGATTCAAGTGTTTTTCCTGAACACACCTGATATAAATTTCGAATTGGATGGAATTTCTGGTATACCAGGTTTGAGGCAAGTCAATACATTCCTTTCAAAATTTACAATTTGAAGATATTTGTTTTACAGCTATTTCATACGTCAGAAAATAGAAGAAAAAATCACTAAGAAACTAGTTTTTCCCAATAAAGTTACCAAGAGATTCTCCAAATCTGTGGAAGCAGTGGAGCTAAAGGCGTTAGAACCTGCTGTAAGTGTATTTTAGTGAATAAAACGATCAAAAATTAACGAATTATAATCGACATGATGCAATTGTTATACATACACACATTAATTATGTGATCAACATCAAACAAATCGAGTATTTCTTGAGAATACTCCCAAAACAAATACCTACTATAATTTTTTCCACCAAAGCAATTGCTACTGTTAATAATTCTTTCTCTTCCACATTATCAGGGAGTTTTAAGAGTTCATGTCTTTGAAGCAAAAGATCTCGAAAGAAAAGATGTGACAGGAAAGTCTGATCCCTATGTTGTGTTGACAGTAGGCGCACAAGAATATAAAACGCACGTTGTCAAAAGAGATTTGAACCCAAAATGGGACTACTGGTGTGAGGTGAGTAAAAAAAACTGATCGAAATATAATTATGCCACTCTGGCATATTCCTAATTTTTTTCGGGTAGTGTAGTATACGGAATATGAGAATAAACTACCTGCACATAGTTAGTTTCACTCTCGCTCTGCATGATTTGGGCACAGTAGATTTGGGTCCATAATACACCATCAGAATTGTCTGATGAAACATGATTCTACTATAGATACCTACGTCCGATTCCTAAAGGAGTCAGTTTTGTTAGATTACTACAAGATTTACATTCCTGTGGATTACGGATCTGCAATTTCATATTTTGTCGATTTGGGTATTCCCGCATAATTTTTGATTGTTTTTTTGCAGTTTGCGATTTTGGATCCACTGGGACAACATATGCAATTCAAACTTTTTGATCAAGATGATTTGAATGAGGATGATTTTATGGGAAGGTGAGGTCCATGAGGTTCAAATCAATTATTTCAAAAATTATGTGTTTTTGTATTTTATAGCGGAATTGTGGAGATAGGCAAAGTCATAAAAGAAGGCAAGAATGACAAATGGTTCAAATTAGATAACGCTAAACATGGAAAAATTCACTTGAGATTTACTTGGTTGGGATTGTCAGCTGATCGTAGTTCACTGAATGCGGTAAATAATGTTTGAAAAATTTAAAATCACGTCAGATTAAATTTTAATCAATGTTGAAGGCATCAGAAGAGATCAAACTTCTGAAAGTTGCAGACATCAGTACAGCTCTTCTCACTGTATACTTGGATTCAGCCCAAGGATTGCAGGTAACATTTCCATTTCCCATGTTGCCAATTTTCAACAACTCCGATTTTCCAGAAAATAAAATCCAAAAAACCTAACCCCTACGCCATCCTGACAGTTGGCAACAAACAGCAGAAGAGCAAAGTCAAAAAACACGCTGTAGATCCTGCTTGGGAACAGGGATTCTCCCTGCTCGTCCCGAACCCTGACAACGATTCTTTGAACATTAGTATCATTGACAAACACAGTGATGCCAAATTGGGGCATTTCGTGTACAACATCAGGAATCTCTACGAAGTGCCAGATCTGCAGATCAGCAAAGAAGAATTTGTGCTGAGTGACTCTGGAAAAATTATCGTCTCTTTGCAGCTCAGGGTAAGATAATATCAGCCCCCAAAAACACAAATCCAATGTTTTTGAACCGAAGCAAAAAACATGTTTTTTCGGTGACGGGAAAAAAGTTTGGCATTTCATCTCTGTTGGCAGGTTATAAAATGTCACTTTTCATAAATTACTTTTTTCCCGTGGAAAAAAGTGAGTACTTTTTTCCCGGATATATATATCACATATACAGTGTGTCCCACTTACCATGCTCACCATGGGTATCTTTTTAACGGTGAGAGATACAAGGTTGGTTAAATGACACCAAATGTGGAGTTTGTCAAGGCCAACTGTAATGTGAAAAAATATTTTGATAAAATCTATTCGTTTTTGTTTTATACGCAAAAAACAGATTTTGATCATTCTCATGTCTCCTCCGTAACTTCTTTATTTATGAAAATATTCAAATAGGAATTTCACATTCTCATGGCAGTTTTTCAAAGTGATTTCGAAAAAAATATGAAATTTATACCAAATTGTTCTAGAATTTGAGATATCAGCACCAACTTTAGTTTTTCAAATGTAGGTCATAGCTCACTATGACCTAGTTACAAATAACTTTTTTTTCTCTTACAGATGATATGTCGCAGTAATAGTTTTGTGTTGATAACAACGGAGTTATCGTCATTTATACAAAAACAAAAAATTATTTGGAAGCCGCCATCTTGAATTTATAAATTTTAACAAAAAAACATGATCTCCGACCTCAAAAACCCCCACTTACCAATTTTGAATGGAATCGGACCAAATTTTGTCCGCCATCTTGGAGCAGCCATTTTTTAAATTTCAACAAAGATTCCATAATGTATTGTCACCGAAATTATGAACACCTGCCAAATTTCAAGTTAATCGGAGTTATGAAATTTTTGTTGAAATTAAAAAAAAAATGGCTGCTCCAAGATTGGCGGACAAGATTTGGTCCGATTCCATTCAAAATTGGTAAGTGGCGGTTTTTGAGGTCGGAGATCATGTTTTTTTGTTAAAATTCATAAATTCAAGATGGCGGCTTCCAAATAATTGTTTGTTTTTGTATAAATGACGATAACTCCGTTGTTATCAACACGAAACTATCACTGCGACATATCATCTGTAAGAGGTAAAAAAGTTATTTGTAATTAGGTCATAGTGAGCTATGACCTACATTTGAAAAACTAAAGTTGGTGCTAATATCTCAAATTCTAGAAGAGTTGGTAAAAATTTCATATTTTTTTCGAAATCACTTTGAAAAACTGCCATGAGAATGTGGAACTCCTATTTGAATATTTTCATAAATAAAGAAGTTACGGAGGAGACATGAAAATGATCAAAATCTGTTTTTTGCATATAAAACAAAAACGAATAGATTTTATCAAAATATTTTTTCACATTATAGTTGGCCTTGACAAACTCCACATTTGGTGTCATTTAACCGACCTCGTATCTTTCACCGTTAAAAAGATACCCATGGTGAGCATGGTAAGTGGGACACACTGTATATACACTGTTGATGGCTTTTGTTGTGCTATAGTTCCGAAAAATGAGTCAATTATACCGTCTCCGAGAATGAACTGCAAATCCATTTATCTTCCATTCGACTTCGCGAAACCCTTCAAATCCAATCATACCTTCAAAACGAATCACCCTGTATACATATAAAACAATTCAAAAAACTTAATGAATTTTCACAGTATATCTACCTTTTGCATAATTCATTTTCGAATAAAATAATAAAAAGGCCGAAATGAAGAGAAAAGTTTCCCTCGAACATATTATTTAATAAAGTTTTTCAATAATACCAGAAAATCGGTCCAGTCACTTTTTATGAGATTTCCAATGTTTGGTGATCATTTCATGAGGATTTGATTTAGACCTATGACAGTTCATCCAGGGGTGTGTCCACGGGGCAAATTGGTCATATAGTATCTTGTAGAAAAAATCACAAACAGAAGATTTTTTGCGGATTTCATAACTTTCAGAACAGCTGAAGATACAAACTTTTATCACTCGAATTTTTATTCTATCAGTTTTTGAGAGGAAAATTAAAAAACGTTGACTGCGAATTTTTTTTATCTCAAGTACAACAGGAAAGTTCCAAAATACCTTTATCTATAAAATACATAGGTACTTAGTATAGGTATCGATCTACAGGGTTACATTTTTCCTATTTTTTTTTTTAAATTCAAGAATTTTTTATAGATTTTGACACATGAAAACTTCGAATGTGACGACAGCGACACAGACTCAGAAAATGAAGAATTTTCCAGAAATGCCTCAGTTAGATCGTCAGCCATGTCCCACCGATCGCGTAAGTATTAAATAAAACTTCTAAAAGCAACATCTGCAGGAGTTTTTTTTTCCTTTCAAAGAAGGAACGCTCAAAGTCATCTCCAAACTCTTCAAAGTCATCTCTACTACTTTTTTAATGATGTAATAGTTATTCAGGGGGACATGTTTCGGATTTATAAAGATCCATCTTCAGTCCTAACAATACTGCAGTTCCTTTTTCCCTTTGAAATATTCCACTCCACTTTGAGCAAACATGGACTTCTACAAGAGAGTTTTCGTCTTTTTTTTTTTCAGTATCCTCTTCTAGTAATTCAACTCCTCCTCCGAAATCTCCAGCTAACCCCACTCATCCTACGCAAGTGGAAAATGATGAAGAAATCATAGAAGATATCATGAGGAGTACTTCGAACAATGCCAGTGTTACAAGGAGTCCCAGTTTCAAAGTGTGAGTCTGTGCATCTCAAACAGTGACATCGTTAAAGACAAGTTTGATTTTGTAGGAAGTCAGGTTTAGGACAAATTGATGTGACCTTGTTCTATAGTGGGCCTAGGCAGAAATTGATAGTGACTGTTCACCAAATTACGTGAGTAATATTACTTAATTTGATAAGTGATACTGATTGATTGGTTGAAAATTTGGATGACTGTGATAACCTGTGAATTTTAATTTCAGGAATTTACCACTTAAAAATCCCAGTGATATACCAGACCCCTATGTGAAACTGACATTAACATCACCTGGAGCGCATAGGATAAAGCACAAAACTAAGGTACGACTTTCACTCCCTAAACATAAAAAAATCAACAGTTTTGTACCCCAAAAATATAAAATTACACAAGAATAACGCATGCTACTTTCACTGAATCTAAAATGTACTACAAAATCAAAACGGCAGATTATTTAAAAAAATATATATGGTTTTCAGAAAATGCCAAGGAAACTGCAAATGTCCCTCAATTTACATTTGTAAGTGGGTATAGGTAGGAACCACATTGATTAAATTCATCAGATTTGAGAAATGATACAATGGTGAACATTTGCACTAGCTGATGCATACACGTTACTGATCAATCAAAATTAAAATAAATTTAAAGTAAAAAAAAAATTCAAAAAAGGCTTTTATTTGAACGCTCTAAAAAGAAGAGAATAAAATGTTCCTTTCAAATTTTAGCTATCAACTTATAACCTCATCATACACAATTTATATGATCATAAAGGCTTGTCGGGATGATCAATATTTAATTAAATTAACAGATTTTACATAATTTTTTTTTTATTATAATAACCCATTGGAGTCTTTATTTGATAAATGTATGTCTGTACGTACCACCCTATATATGTACCATAATGATGTCGTCGATTAAATTTTGAACCTTTTTGTAATAATTACTTGACAAGTATAGCGCCCTGATGATGCGACTTATTATTAGCCGATTGTGCACTGTAATTTTGTAATAAAACATCACACTAAACACAAAATCACTTCATTTGATTAAAATATAAAATTAATGCCTACCTACCTACTTATTTCGAACATACATTTAGTAGTAAGTAAATAACTTTAAAGTAAAATGAGAATTGCTTTCAGGTCATCATGGACAACTGTGATCCAGTCTTTGAAGAAACATTTGAATACCTTATGTCAGTATCAGATCTTTCGAACAACAAATTGTTGCTAACTGTTAAAAGTAAAAAATTCTTCAACTCGAATGTACTTGGACAAGTGAGTTAATTCCCATGATGGTTAATGTGCGCAAAAAATGATTTTCTAATCATTTCAGGTGGTGCTGAATTTCAAAAACCTTCAAAATTTGCAAGAGCCTTACAGAGACTGGTTTGAATTGTCGCAGGCAGATGAGTCAGACTAAAAGCTATAGGCTTTCAATTCTATCTGTCTAAATTGTGCCTACCTAAGTATATTTTTGTAATCCGAGCTGTTTTTACATTTTATGTTAATGTAGTTATCTATATCTTCTCATATGTATGAGGCTATACCTACTATGTAAACAAGTTGTTTTGTGATAATAATATATTTCAATTTCGAATATAATATTCCACCATACATGTATTGCATTTTTCCTTAATTTGGAACCGTATGCAATGAACCGGGAATCTTGACGTTGACGTCAATTATCAGATACAGAAGCCGAATTGGCCCACACGTGACCAAAAATCTCATTTTTCAGCAAACATTTTGACATTCATAACGTCAGTATGAAACTTTAGAGGAAATAATCAAATAAAAACGACTAACGTAGCAGTAGTCACTTCCTATTTGACCTTGAGCAAGAAAGAGATGTGGTGTGATGACATAAGAAGAACATGTGTTTTTGACAGGAGACGAGTCATATGATAAGCAAAGTTGATTTGAAAAATGGGTGAACAGTCGATCCCACCGAAGGAAAATGATTTTTCCCAAAACAATAAAGACCCTCACAACGGGGAAGCAATGAATGGTGATGAAAATGAAGACGAAAACGAGGAAGACATGACTCCTGAAGGTGAAACTAATAGGTTATGAGTTCGGAATTCCATACTTTCGACTTGTTCTTTTAGAATTTGCCAATTTGGATAATCAGCTGAATGCTCTGCACTCTGCCTTGGATGAAATTGAACAAAAAAACGATAGTATTCATTCGCAGCTTTTGCAATTGCTTAACGCCAATAGAGAGGTGAGGCAACAACTGAAGTTAGATCAAGAAGCAAATTCCCCTATGGACACAGATTCAAATACGCCAAAGCAATAAGTATTAGAAAACCAGATGTGCATTTTCATTATAACTTAATGTTTCTTTATAGATAGAGTTTACACAAATCAAATTTGACCTCATTTTTTCCTTTAAATATTTATTGTCTTCACCCCTTCAAGAAACATTGACAGTTTTGCCTAATTTCAATATGCCTCAAAACTAAATTACTCCAATATTTTGGCTGAATCTTTTAATTCAGAAATAATCAAGAATAGGATTAATATTTATTTTATTATATTTTACTAAAATTCTTATAGGTCATCTTATAAAAAACTTTGGTCAGAACATAGATGTCAAAGAAAGAAGTGTATGAGAAAAATATGTAGGTAGATATAAGGGGGTGATGTTTCAGAATATTAAAAATATTAGTTCCATTAAATAATATAGCTCTTTTTTTATGTTTTACTCCATTATGACAATAACTAAAAAGGGACTCTTCACAATAGTCCAAGCATGGGTACAAAAATATCTTTTGCTTTGTTGTTTTTTATGAATTTAAAAAGTTGGATACAAGGAAACATTTATGAGGGTTTATACATTTACATCTGCCACTTAAATTAAGAATTACAAAGTTGACCAACTTTCAACTCAACAACTAAGAATTAGGAAATTCTGGAGGCCGAACATGAAGATTGGATTTGTAATTGTTCAAATGGAGATTGCTGATATTCAATTGGAATATTTTTTATGGATTCGTGAATTGTGGAGAACAAAATCACTTTATAACAACATTTTGATCATTAATCAGATGACATATTTCACATCTAATTCTTAATTATTATCATATATATATAAACACCCTGATGATTATTAATAATTGTTGATTGTTAATTGATAGCTTAATTGAATCTATGAACCCAGCATCAATGGTCAGATTATACAAGGGTAATACAAGTTAATTTTATCATTATTTACTCATGCTCAAAACTGGTTAAATCTTGTTATTGTGGACGTTCTGTAGCCGATCATGTGCCGTTTTTACTTATTTCCATCAGCTTTGATGGCTTATTTGATGCAAGAAATGCAAGAATCAACCTGATCAGGATTGTACCTGTGACAAGTGCACTTCTCCAAATAATTAGACACTAACATAGTAACACGGTATTTGTTCCGCTAATTCCCTAATCAAGATCATGTTCTGTTCCATGTTTTTTGTTTAGATTATTCAAAGGAATAATAGCTAAAAAATTCTCCAACAGTTTATCCATGTGATGTTCATATAAAAAATCCAAAGTAAATAAGATCAATGGTATGAGGTTGCAACAATTACAATAGTCAGTTTGCTAAATCTAAATAAAAACCGACTGCGGCAATGAGAAATTTCCCCTGCCCAAACTAAATAAAAGAGAGTTCGGCCTGTATCCCTTTGTTTCCATGTTGTGCTTGAGGGAATCTTTGCTCATCTCCATCACCGTGATGGCTTTGATACAAGATTGATGATACAAGAATCATTCTGATCAAGGTTGTATCTATCGCATTTCTCCTGAGCGTTACGACACCAAGGATGTGTCAAGTATGTGGTTTGACGTTCAGTATGAAGTCTTACCATCGGTTTGACCAACCAGGAATATCGGCCACGTTTCAAACCTGCCCACAAAGTTACCACGTTAACTTTTGATGGGAGTCGAGTCAACCATTGGCCATTTTGGCATCACCACTGTGGTCGAATGAATGACTTGACACAGCCCTAGTCTTCTTGCCAGTTCGTTGATCATGATCATACCTTTTATGATGGTTTTTCGTTTCAATTGTTCGAAGAATCAATAGAAAAAAAAAGAATTCTTCAAGTTTATTCAGGTGATGTTCATACAAAAAATTCAGAGTAAATAAGATCGATAATACATGAGGTTGCAACACTTACAATAGTCAGATAGCTTTCAATTATTTGGAATCTGGAAACATACACTAAACGATACTAAATCTAAATAAAAACCGAATGCAGGATTGAGGAATTTCCCTGCCTAAACTAAATAAAAGTGAGTTTTGTCCTGGTGTGATTAACCTGCCAAAAGTTGAACTCCTCATACTTCTCAAGAGTGTACCCTTTGCTAGCACATTTTTCCAAAGCGTCGGATACCAGCACAGTCTTCTTCTCTCCAGCCAACTCGCTAATCAAAGCGAAGATCTTGTCATGGACGTTCGGCGGCCTGTATCCCTTAGCTTCCATGGTGTGCTTGAGGGAATCTTTGCTCATCTCCATCACCCTGATGACTTTGATACAAGAATCATTCTGATCAAGGTTGTATCTATCGCATTTCTCCGGAGCGTTACGACACCAAAAGGATGTTTCAAGTCAGTGGTTTGACCGGGCACATACGTTCAGTATGAAGTCTTACCATGCGTTTGACCAACCAGCTGTTTGGGAATATCGGTCACGTTTCAAAATGCCCACAAAGTTACCACGTTAACTTTTGATGGGAGCCGAGTCAACCATTGGCCAATTTGGCATCACCACTGTGGTCGCACAGATGACTTTGCACAGTCCTAGTTCGTTGATCATCATCATACCTTTTATGATGTTTTTTAGTTTCAATTGTTTGAAGAATCAATAGAAAAAAAAAGAATTCTTCAAGTTTATTCAGGTGATGTTCATACAAAAAATTCAGAGTAAATAAGATCGATAATACATGAGGTTGCAACAATTACAATAGTCAGATAGCTTTCAATTATTTGGAATCTGGAAACATACACTAAACGATACTAAATCTAAACAAAAACCGAACGCGGGAATGAGGAATTTCCCTTGCCTAAACTAAATAAAAGTGAGTTTTGTCCTGGTCTGATTAACCTGCCAAACGTTCAACTCCTCATACTCCTCAATACAAGCATCCACCTGATCAGGATTGTACCCTTTGCTGGCGCACTTCTCCAAAGCGTCAGACACCAACACAGTCTTCTTCTCTCCAGCCAACTCGCTAATCAAAGCAAAGATCTTGTCATGGACGTTCGGCGGCCTGTATCCCTTAGCTTCCATGGTGTGCTTGAGGGAATCCTTGCTCATCTCCATCAGCCTGATGGCCTCGCTGACGTCCTCTTTCTCCACGATGTTGGAGAGGCGCAGACGCGCCAGGGCAGTGGAGAGACGCAGGATGCCCAGGAGGTTCCTGGCGGAAGTGAAGGTGCAGTCCCGCGAGTTGCGCGCTTCTCGTCTCAGTTCCACGTACGCCTCTGAAAAATAAAATGGGACAATTAGTTTCTGCTGACATGTTGTAACGAGACTATCTTTTGCAAAGTAGACTTAAAATGTTGTGAAAATGCTCTCAGGCGAGAGTGAATTGATAAGTCAGTTAAAGATGTTTTTCAAGTTCCAATAGAAGGAGAAGTAAAATTGTTAATTTGTATCATGTATTGTAGTATTTGTGTTTGTAAAAAATCGAGCCCGGATGTTATCCAAACAATATTTTTTCATCTTGTTATTCATGGTAAACATACATTATATTATCCAACTCAGGAACATACCACCTGTGCTTCCATATAAATACTAAATATGAATAAATTAATGTGTTTTTGACTATTTCACGTGGTTTCAAAAAAATAATGTATATACAAGAATGTATACAACACGTCGAAAAAATATTGTTTTACAGTATTTTCTGAACTATACAGGGCATTCCAGAGCTCTTAGTTAGGCAAACAGAAAACTGGGGTATGTTGAACACAAATTGTCGAATATATTATATTGGAAGGTATCCAATATATTAAGAACAAAATGACCCACACCCATAATTGGTTTTCCAAATTGCAGCCTATTTTTTTTTTTTTTTTTTTTTTTTTTTTCGTTTCATCCCACAAAACCTCTTATTCTTACCTACGATAAAGTCTGTCAAAGCTTCTGGAATAGCAGGATCCTTCAATTTGCACATTGTGATATACTTTCTCATCACACTCATATCTAGGGCTTCTGTCTCCGTCGGTGGTTGTTTGCTATGTTGATGGACGTAAGTAATGTGCTTGGCTAATCTAAAATAAAAGGTTCCTGCCAAATGAGTTTGAAATTATCTAGGGGAAAATAGGAGAAGCAATTCTTACTTGCCAGCAACGTTTTTTCCAACCGCGTTTTTCAACACAGTTTGTCGTACTGTCACAAAGAACTCCTATAATGGAGGAACATAGTTTATTTCTTAATTGAAATTAATCAACAAAAGAAGAACAATCGGGTGAATACATGAGTGATACTCCCCTAGAAATCAATGAAGCAACATAGAATTCACCCTATCAAGTGCTATTTTAGTCTCCAGTCGTGCACAAAAATTAGGGATCAGCGATACGGCTATATCGGATATATGGGCCTCATTGGCCGATAATAATTGTATCCGACGAAATCAGAAGCTGATGGACCGATACATGCTTTTTATTAAGAAACAAATTCAAATCTGTTATCTGACGATATTCCTCATAGGTGGTTCTTCAACAGATGATATTTCATGTTGACCATTTTTTCTTCGTCACCCAATGATACAGATTTTTGGCAGATTTCGTAAATCGCACTTCTGTTCTTCAATTCATTTCTTTTGAAATAGTTTTCCAAAACGGGCTTGTTTTCGGCATTTTGTTACAATATACAAAAAGAGACAATAATAATAATTCCACCGCTGAGTTCACATTGAACAGACATTATAATTTATATTATACTTAAAAAGTTGAACACTTCAGCCTCCACTATATTCTGTACCTCAAACACAACCAAATTGGAGCATAAATTGAAATAATCATGACATGATACTCATGATAGAAACAAATTCAAGTTAGATTAGGTTAGGACCTGCAGAGACGTGCGACGACAATAGTGATTCGTGCATTCAAGCGGCCTATTTACTTTGTTCTCATTGGTTCACATTTGTTTTTTGTTTGTGCTCATTGGTCACAACATCAAAACAAACCATTCAGAAGTGTTCAAGTTGTTGCCGTCAGGTGGAGCGACGTGTTGTTTTCTATGGCGAATATCGAGAAATTTCCAAGCCAGACAGTATGAACCACGACAGAAAGAAACGAACGGCCTATAAACTGATATATTGGTAGGTATATCAGTATTTGAAATATTGATATCTGCTCATAGCGAATAGAGCAATGGCAGCTGACGTCACAACATGGCGCACTCGTCGTTTTTATCAGCTGATCGGGGGACATACAAAGTTGTGTGTGAATTTTGATTTTATTATTACTGACCCATCGGTGATTTTGTTGAACTTGTAGATATTATGCGAGAAGAATGTGTTCATTTTCTTCCAAAATGAGTATCTATTGAGGTATCTTACGAGGTATATTTGGTATATTAGAGCTGAACTCAAGTGAATCCAGTAATTTTAAATTGACAAATAAACCAATTTGAACTCTTTTTTGGACTCATTCACTTTTCTCACAGCATTCATGATGAATGAATCAACATACATGTCAATAAATAAATGCTCCAGATATTGTATTTTAGTGGGAAATGTGCGAGAAAGTTACATGTACTCTTATGGAAAATGTGTATGCCTGCCCCCATCAGCTGTTCAATGGCCGACAATTTTACGTCATATGACGTCATTGACATTGCTCTATTCCATTGGCAGGAACTGGTGGAGTGTTTCTGCACTCAATGTATATCTTTCCTTCTCCCTCCCATGAGGGATATAGAATTTGCTATTAAATGTCTACATCGGTCGTGCACGAGTATAATAATAAACAAATACCGAAAAGCACTGATCATGGCCACTCACTTGAGATCGTTGTCTCGGTCTGCCTTGTCCTGCATCAGCCACAGCAGATCGAACCTGGACAGCAACGCGGCTGGTAGCTGGATGTTCTGCTCAATGGTTCTCTTCGGATTGTAGCGACCATAAGCAGGATTGGCTGCAGCCAAGATAGACACGCGCGCGTTCAGAGTCGTCATGATGCCTGCCTTGGCTATGCTGATGGTCTGCTGTTCCATCACCTCGAATCACAAACCAAATCTTTTGAATAACAAAATAGTACTAATATGTTTTAGTGTTCTATTTATTCGAAAGTATCTCTGTATAAAAGAAGTTGGGAACATGTTTGAGATGTGATAGATGACCAGAGCGATGATACTAGCGGAGCAACGAAATGAAAAGCACGGATTTATGTGCAGTTGGATGTTTTGCTCGATGGTTCTCTTTGGATTGTAGCGACCATAAGCGGGATTGGCTGCAGCCAAGATAGACACACGCGCGTTCAGAGTCGTCATGATGCCCGCTTTGGCTATGCTGATGGTCTGCTGTTCCATCACCTCGAATCACAAACCAAATCTTTTGAATAACAAAATAGTACTCATATGTTTTAGTGTTTTGTTTATTTGAAAGTATCTCTGTATAAAAGGAGTTGGGAACATGTTTGAGATGTAATAGATGACCAGAGCGTTGATACTAGCGGAGCAACGAAATGAAAAGCACGGATTTATGTGCTGTTGGATGTTTTGCTCGATGGTTCTCTTTGGATTGTAGCGACCATAAGCGCGATTGGCTGCAGCCAAGATAGACACGCGCGCGTTCAGAGTCGTCATGATGCCCGCTTTGGCTATGCTGATGGTCTGCTGTTCCATCACCTCGAATCACAAACCAAATATTTTGAATGACAAAATAGTACTCATATGTTTTAGTGTTTTGTTCATTTGAAAGAATCTCTGTATAAAAGAAGTTGGGAACATGTTTGAGATGTAATAGATGACCAGAGCGATGATACTAGCAGAGCAACGAAATGGAAAGATCGGATTTATGTGCAGTTGGATGTTTTGTTCGATGGTTCTCTTTGGATTGTAGCGACCATAAGTGGGATTGGCTGCAGCCAAGATAGACACGCGCGCGTTCAGAGTCGTCATGACGCCCGCCTTGGCCACAGATTACCAAACTTTGTTAACCTGTGCCTTGGCTATGCTGATGGTCTGCTGTTCCATCACCTCGAATCACAAACCAAATATTTCGAATAACAAAATAGTACTCATATGTTTTAGTGTTCTATTTATTTGAAAGTATCTCTGTATAAAAGAAGTTGGGAACATGTTTGAGATGTGATAGATGACCAGAGCGATGATACTAGCGGAGCAACGAAATAAAAAGCACGGATTTATGTGCAGCTGGATGTGTTGCTCGATGGTTCTCTTCCGTTTGTAGCTACCATAAGCAAGATTGGCTGCAGCCAAGATTGACACACGCGCTAACAGAAGTTTATAAAAGGTGAACTCGAGTAATTAGTGCCTACCTGTCTCATTTTATGTAAATAATCAAGAGATTAATGAAAGTATCTATCTATCTATTGATCACAACACACACGTACAAATATCTTGATTTTGATAGATAGGTACCTACCTACTAACATAGTGTATTTTCTATTAGATACTTATTCATCTGGTATCAGACCTTATTCATTGTAGAAATCATGATCATCCAAGACAAAAATTGCTTCAACAATATCATCGGCGACCTCAGAATTTTTCCTTTCAACAATTATTTGCTAACTAAAAACGGAAAACTTTTCACATTTCGTTGAAAATCGTATGGAACTAGTGAAATGAAGAATTTAAACCACACTATTATCATACCTCCAACATAGAATAATTTTCTAGTTATAATCATTGCTTTTCGACGTTGTTATAGCTCATGTTACGGTCTCACAGATGTAAAAGGAGAGCTAACTTAGAATGCATTAAGCTAAATATACCTCAGTGCCGGCACTAATGGTAATTTAATTCTGATATACTCACCGGCGAAAAAAATTGTCATTAATAATAATTCAGAACCAATGAAAACATTGACGTGAATCAAGAAGTATATCAAGAAGAGATCACATTTCAACCCAAAACATAATGAAGCTGAGTTTAATCATTAATCAAGAATTAAAAAAGTTACAAGGCGATCGATTCAGCAATTTTATTTCTGGCTGTTTTTTTTTTTTTCTCGTTTACCTCGTGTATGGCGGTCCGGTCCTCGTCGGCCATCTTGTCGAACTCGTCGATGCAGCAGACACCCTGGTCGGCGAGCACCAGGGCGCCCCCCTCGAGCATCATCTCGCCCGTCATGGGGTCCTTCATGATGGAGGCTGTCAGCCCCACGCCAGACGAGCCCCGACCCGTGGTGTATTGACCTAGAGATGAAGTAAAGCACAATGATGGTGAAATGTTGTGTAAGGACTTTGTTTTATTCAAATCATTCTGTATAGAGTTGAGTTTTGTGAAGTAAGCCTAGGACACCATATGTTGTTGTCAAAAGTGAAAGAGAATTTCTTAGAAACTGGAATGTTTCTGAGACTTCATTATTTCTATTCGGACCACAAGTGATTGAAACAGGACTACTTACTGAAATAAAGTTGAAGGAAAGACAGACAGACACAGATATAGAATTTATTTCGAATCATTTTATTGATTATAGCTGACGCGGCAAACGATGTTTTGCCATGTACATTATTTCTAGAAAATATTGTTTCATTTGAATATTCAACAACACACTTTTATTACTTTTTTTTCTATTTCTTTCCAGTTCGGTAATCTATCTCTTCAGTTTTCTGAACTACTTTTTACTTTCTACTTCTTTTTAGTTTGGCTATCTATGAAAGCGCCGTGTTTCATTAGTTTCTCACAAACACTTTTTATTACAAAGCTCGTTCCACATATTGAATCCGCCATCTTCAATTCTCTGATAATGACTGAGGAATCATAATTTTCGACCCTGAAAACCCTCAGATACCAATTTTAAATAGAATCGGATCATAATTAATAAACTCGTATGCCATATCGGATTTGTCATCTTGAATTTCCAAGATTTGACAAAAGAATCATAATCTCTGAACCCGAACACCTCCAGACACCTATTTTGAACATAATCGGATCAGGATTACTAGAGTCGTCCGCGATATTGGATCCGTCATCTTGAATTTCAAAATTTTGAGGAAAGAATCATAATCTTCCACCCCAAAATCCCCCAGATACCAATTTTGAATAGAATCGGATCATAATTACGAAAGTCGACCGCCATATTGGATCGGCTATCCCGAATTTTCAAATTTTGAGGAAAGAATCATAAGTGTGGATCCCAAAAACCCCCTGATACCTATTTTGAATAGAATCAGATAATAATTACAGAAGTCGTCCGCCGTATTGGATCCGCCATCTTGAATTTCTCAATTTTTCCTCTCATAGAAACCTTCTCCTGACAACAACAAACACAACAAAAAAGAATGAAATTTTATAAAGAACATACAAACATTCATGTTTATATATATATATATAGATATCACAAACAAAGTCAAGTTTATTTGAATTGATTAGTGCCATAGTCTCTCATATTGAATTCGTCTTTTTGAAAAATTGATATTCAGAGACATTCTATGAATCAAAAAAATTTGATTATCCATCAACGAGTCCATCATTTTCTTCATATCATTCATTGAGGAACATCATACTGACATTATTACATTAACAATATATTATACTACTATTAGATTCAAAACTGTATAATAGGTAAGAACAGTAATTTCTAGAAAAAATACTATGACGTTCATCATGATGAGACACAGACAACTTTTTTCCAGTTATTTATTCTTTCCAGATTTCCCGAAATAAATTCCCGAAGAAATGCTTCAGAACATGAACACGACGGAAAATTGTCATCAGCGGTACTGACGTCACAAGTACTATAAGTCGAGAAAAATCGATTAACAATGTCTTTGTCAATTGATTGCCCTAAAAATCACAAAAGTTTCATAGACACTAATTAAGACCCATAAAGAAAGAATCCGGAGTCAGATTTTGTGGATAACTTTACCTTTAAATTTTCAAAATTTGCTGTTCATGTAATGCAGTAGGCTCATACAGGACGAAAACTGTTTTCCTGATTGCCCTAAAAATCTCAAAAAAACAATTTCCACTAATTCGGATCCATAAATGAAGATTCGGGAGTCAGATTTAGTAGAAAACATTCCCTTTAGATCTTCAAAATTAGCGATTCAGGCAATGCAGTAGGCTCATCATATCTATATATTTTATACTCATCATAAAAAATAACAAAATCGTCACTTTGAAGAGTTGCCATTTTAGTTTGAAGGTTTGAACATAAGTCAGAATTCAAATTTTCCTTGACACAGGTGGTTGATAGGTTGAAATGGCCAGTTCATGTGCGTACCCATTTTTATTCTCAAGGGGTCGGTCATAGGTTGAAGTACAGTTTCCAGCAAACAGTCAGTAATATTCTAAACAGTATCTTTTGCCAAAAATGCAAAACTCTCCATGAAGAATTGAAAGAGAATTGAAAACTTTAATATGGACTTTATCTTAGTTCTGGGTGCCAATCTACTGATATACTCAAACAGCTGGCCACCACAGGGTTATTGATGTTGCCTCAGATATTCTCATACCTCATTATCACTGACAGAATGAATAATTGAATGAAAATTGAAAACTTCAATATGGAATTTCATCTTACTTCTGGCTACCAATCTACTGATATACCCCAACAGCTGGCCACCCCAGGGTTATTGATGTTGCCTCAGATATTCTCATACCACATAATCACTGACAGAATGAATAATTGAATGGAAAAAGAAAACTTTGATATGGAATTTCATCTCACTTCTGGGTGCCAATCTACTGATATACCCCAACAGCTGATACTTGGCCACCCCAGGGCCATCTATGAAGCAAATATTGATGTTGCCTCAAATATTCTCATACCATATCATCACTGATACAATGAAAAATTTAATGAAAATTAAGAACTTTAATATGGAATTTCATCTTACTTCTGGGTGCCAGTCTACTGATATACCCCAACAGCTGAGACTTGGCCACCCCGGGGTCCCCCATGAGGCAAATATTGATGTTGCCTCTGATCTTCATGCCGTCAGGCCGCTTGTCAACTCCGCCCACCAGTAGCAGCAGCAACGCCTTCTTGATGTCCAAATGGCCGTAAATTTCGGGCGCTAGGGATACCGCCAGTTTTGAGTAGAAATCATCTTGTGTGAGAGTAGCCAACTCTTCAGGGGTGAGAGGATTGTTTGCTCTGTCATTGTCAATCTGATTCATCAATTCGATTTTCTAAAACAGACATCAAAAGTAATTTTCGGGAACAAAAAGTAGTTTTGTATCTTACATGGGCTTCCAAGTAAGTTTCAGACAAAAGACCACCTCTCAGTTGGTTATAGCCTTGCTTTATTAATGGTAGAAATATTCCAGTGATTGTAACATGGTCTCCAGGTAAAGCTTGTCTTGTTACTTCACCTCTGCAAAATACTGTTAGAGTTCTTGGTATATGTCCCACAGGTACTTGATCACTCTGAAAGTGAATATAATGATTTCATTTTGGTAAATCACCCACCTGTTAAATTATGATGCTTGACAAATTCAACACTTATGTGTGTGTGTTCTCAAGTTTCATGACTTTTTTCAATCAAACTAATTTGATAATTCTGAATGTATTTCACAGTTTTATTATCAGCTCATTGATGAGTTGGTAGTGGAAAAAATATGTATCTGATGATTCAATGTATCAATCAATGTACTTTCATGAAAATCAAGAGTTTGAATGTATAGATGAAAATATGGCCGACACACAGCTTAGCAAAATAAAAAAAACTTGTTCAATAGAGGAGTTCAAAATATTACTTCTGCAATGGATGTTATCAGTCAAAAATACTGAGAAGTGAATACAGATCATAAGCCTAAGAGGTTTGAATTTGTTTTGTGGCCATTTTAGATTTACCAAGTAATTATTTATTATGATATACTTATCATAACAATGAATATTTGGATCACTATGTAGGTATAAACATGAAATACTAGCAATCTATAAATTCCTTCACTCAGAAAAATAAGTCCTAACATCTCTCAGAATATAAAATCTTTTGACTGTGAAATTTTTAATTGATTAATTTCAATTCATTCTAGTTGTTTCATGTCTTTTTCATTTCAATCAATTGATTTGATCACAGTTTAATTAATTAGAAACTATTTTCCTGTGAGGGTGGAAAAGTCACAATAATTCTAAATGGATATCATACTGTAACATTAATTTCATTCCCTAAAATAAGTGTCAGCTACATGATTTTTCCCAGAGTATCATCCTTGATCATATAACTCAATGGTACCATGCACCAATATTTATCAAGACATAAATATACTTTTCATAGATATAATTGTTCTTGCTCTTCTAGTTTTTCAATTTTTTTTTATGAGTTTTCACAGTTGAAACTCAATAAAAATAGCATTTATTGATCCCAAGAAACATCAGTACATGATTATAGAGGGATATAAAGAAAAACATAATCATTAATACATCAAATATGCAATAAAATGAAAGATAAGCAGTTCAATCAGAATTAATTGATACAAGGAGAGTTAAATCAATAAAATATATTTCTTCAGTTCACTCTTGAATTTTGTGAGGAGCTTGATAGTTTTCATTATGTTGAGTAGACTATTATAGATATTTATTCCACAAAAATATAATGATTTTTTCCCAAACTGAATTTTTATTTTGTCAGTTATCAAATGTTCACTTTGTCTGGTCTGATGCTCATGGGTATCAGAATTGATATTGAAAGTAAGATTTGAGTGCTACTTCTTATTTTTAGAGAAATGGAGGAAAATGCAAACTCATTTTAAAGAGTCAATATCTAGCAGACCCCTTGGTTTGTGTAGTCTAGATGTTTATTCCAGAAATAGTAGATTAACAATACATTTCATGGCTTTATTTTGAAGAGATTTCAGATGTTTTGAAACAGATTTTGCTGCAGTGCCCCCAGATTGATATCAGATTATCAGATACTGCAGTTTAGAGTAAGTCAGACTGAAATAATAAAAATCTCAAGTATTTTAGAGGTATAAAAGACCTCAATTTGTATAACCATCAATGGGATATATATTTTTTCCTGAGAATTTGAATATGCAATGACCAAGATAGAGACCAGTCTATAGTTAAATTGAAGAGTTTGAAATTTTTTGTAGGATTCATACAGTAGAAGTTAACACAAAATAGACTCATTTATGTCACAAATTCTTACATGTTCCTGTATCTTGACCTCCTGGAACTTAGCAAACTTAGACCCCCTTGTCTGCAGATACAACCTTCCTCCAGACTTATTCACTTTACAGTCTTCACTGGGACACATTATAGTAGGCATGAAGCTGAGAGAATTGATTGGCTGGTATGTTTCAGCTCCACACTGATCACAGGTATATGTTGCAACTGATATCATTGGTTTCACCTCAGTACATCTTGTCACAATTCCCCTTACTGTTACCAGGGTTCCAATATCTTTAGCTTTGATTTCTCTGATGGGGAGTGATTTGATTGCATTCATTTCTTGGAAGTAGATTTCACTATAATAAAAGTTGATAATACAACCAACTGTCTAGTAGCTAGCATTTCTTACTTACTATCTACGCATCAGTTCTGGGGGGAACTTGTTCCTGGCATCCCTGTTCTCATTGGGTTGCCTCATCCTATTTTCCATCATTAGACGGTGTTCAATGTATACATCCAAAGCATCTTTGGCAATAACATCCCTCTGTTTGAATGTGGGTAGAATTTCAAACACCAAATCTGACAACAAGTTGCTGTAACGCCTGGTATTTGCCCGGATGGCCTCAGCAATCTCTTCATTGAATTCATATACATCATCTAGTTGTATCCACATTGCTACTTGCTCACGGTGGGCTATTTTAGTCAGCTGGTTGGAATATTTGAAATGTTTGTTGCCAGAAATGTCCTGGGTGCAGAACTCCATGAGGAATGTCTTGAGTGTTTCTGTATGAGGAAGCAATACAAGTTTTACCTATGATTATGAGTAATTTTTGTGCATTCTCACCTTTATCTTTATCATAGTCACGTCTAGCCATACTTGTGTATCAGAAATCACAATACAATGAATTAACTAAACTACGAGTCAATAAAATCCACATAAAATCATTTGAAATCTTCACAAAATGTTTCAATAAACCACAAACAGCACAAGCAAAAAGTAGAAATGAAAGAATGGCGCCAAATTTTCTTAAAACGGTAAGAACGGTTGAATTGAAGGTTAACAAGTTGACAGATGTCATCTTCTTTTATTAGCAGCTGCTCTATAAAGCAATTGGCCATATGAATAATGGAATCATGAGTGTTTCGCATTATTCATGGCCTATTCAACTCTTATCAGTCTTATGAACATTTTGACCTGCAATCATTCCTATTATCACATCTCAATCATCTGCAGTGTCAGAGATTAGTCAAGGCAGTGTCAAGTAAATAAATGGGTCCGTAAATGGGTTCATAATCCTTTCGATCATCTGAACTACCCACGGTTTCCTAGCGAATCTGAGTCATAAAAAAATAGAAGAAGTAGAAGTTGAAGACGTTTTTGAGGTTAAGTATGAATTTTACCGCCAATTTCGTTTGATGTGTTTTGTTTTTGTTTCAGCAAAATATTTAGTTATTTATCCATTTTTGAAGAATTATGAGCGATTCACGTAAGATATGTCGCTTTTTGCTTTCCCCAAATTCTCCATATTTTTCATTCCAGCTGAAGACCGTCGTTCAAAAAGAGCAAGACGAGAAACGTCCTACAAAGCTAAAGCATTTGAAAAATTCAAACAGCTCAAAAGTGGCACCAGAAGTAAATACGAAATCGAGGAATTAGATAATGTATATGAAATTGTTGAAGAGAAGGACTATGTTCGAAAAGTTTTAGACCGTCAGGATGATGATTGGATAGTAGATGATGGTACATAATTGTTTTTGAAGTGTTGGAAATAATTTTATTGAGTTTTTGAATTTTTCAGATGGAAGTGGATATGTTGAAGATGGTCGAGACATATTTGATGATGACCTGGATTCAGAATCTATTGCTCAGGCAACTGCAAAAGGTAAGGGTACAAAGAGAAAGAAAAAGGCTGTTTCTGAAAATGCTGGAAGAGGCAACCTTCAGCAGATGTTATCCAACATGCCTTCAAAAAAGAAAGAGGAAAAAAAACTAGAAGATGATGAAATGCTGTCAGAGATATTAGGTGAAATTGATTCTACTACTTCTGATAGTATTGTTAAACCAAAATCCCAAGAGTATTCTATTTTATCCAAAAAGTTAGCAGCCAAAGACTACATGAAGAGTTTTTCTATGCCTAAAAGTTCCTTTTCACTGCCTAGAACACCCCAGAATAGCAGAAAGACACAGAACACTGAAAATGTTATCAATTCTAGTAATACTAGCAGTAGTAGTAGAGAAATAAAAATTCCAAAAGAAGTTCAGAATAGCATACCTGAGAAAACCACAATTGAACAAATCCTTGATTCACAAGTGGAGGATATCATTGAAGAAACTCCCACAGAAAGTAACTTGATACCTTCTACACAGTCCCTTGAAACTGAAAATATAACTATTGAGGAATATTCAACCCAAGAATTATTTGATGATGAGCTTGACATGACACAAATTGAAGAATTTGAGTCTCAACAGCTTCAAGATACTACAATGGACGAAGAAAAAATCACTGATGATCTACAGGCTGAGTTTATGAGTGAATGGGAAAATTTTGGCAATGAAACTTCTGATATGGATGTTGATAAATTGTTAGATAAAACTGACATACCTTTGGTAGAAGTTGATGACAAAAAGGTAAATTTTCCAAAAATATTTTTCTCAAGTATCAGAGAATATAAATGGAGGAGTGTCATAAAATATCATTCATGAATTTGATAGTAGAATACTGGAGGATCATGAATGAGTAGGGAATTTTCATTGTCATATTAAAGTGAAGTTATCCACACATTTCCATCCACACTTTATGACGTGAAGAAAGTTGTATTTGGAATACACTGTGGGTCACATGCGGTGTTGCCAAAGTTTAACAAATGTCATTAGATATTTCATTAAGACTGTTGAAGTATTGATTTATGAAAAATCTAACAGGACACATACAAGACATAGTGTATCAGCTCTTTATATCAGAATTTGGCAACAAAATTGAGTGAATTCGAATGATATATAATAATCATTTACACATCAATTATTACAGCACATAAAACATATTGAACTCTTTGACAGGTCATTAAACATATGATTACCAATATGGGTATAAACACTGAAAAATATCTGTACCAACCTGTAGGGGAAACGGAAATCACAAAAATATTCCAACAAATTTATTTTCTCAATTATTACGACGCCTGTCATCTTGAACTATTCCGAAGATCATTAAACATCTCTTCACCAACAAGCACACAGAGAAAAATATCTGTGCCAACCCATAGGGGAGATCAAAGTATCAAAAATATTCAAAAAAATCATTTTTTCAATTATTATACAGTGCCTGTCATCTTGAACTATTTGGGAGATCATTAAACACCTAATTACCAATACGTACACACACAAAAATATCTGTGCCAACCCATAGGGCAGATGAAAATCTCAAAAATATTGGAAAAAAAAATATTTCCCCAATTATTACAGCGCGTGTATCTTGAACTATTTAAAGAATCATTGAACACCTCATTACCAATATGTACACACAGAAGAATATATGTGCCAACCAGTAGGGGAGATATGGAAATCACAAAAATTCCAATACCTACCTGTCCCTATCCTCCCTAGGAACGCAAGATGTTCTTTGAACATTATAGGGATTCCCTTTCGTGCGCCCCAAGCGATAAAATAAATACATTTTCTCAATTATTACGGAGTGTGCCATCTTGAACTATTTCACAGGTCATTGAGCATATGCTTATCAATACATACACAGAGAAAAATATCTGTGCCAACCCGTAAAGGAGATGGAGATCTCGAAAATATAAAAAAAATCATTTTCTCAATTATTATGGCGCGTGTTATCTTGAACTATTCGACAGGTCATTGAATATATCATTACCAATACATACACACCAAAAAATATCTGTGCCAAGACGTAGAGGAGGTGAAAATCGAAAAAATTCATTTACTAAATTATTACAGCGCCTGTCATCTTGAACTATTCGAGAGATCATTCAACACCTCATCACCGAGACGTACACACAGAAAAATATCTGTGCCAACCCGTAGGGGAGATGGAAATCATAAAAATAATAGAAAAAAATCATTTTCTCAATAAAATTACGGCGCGTGTCATCTTCAACTATTTGAAGGATCATTAAACACCTCATAACCATTAGGTACACACAAAAAAATATCTGTGCCAACCCGTAGGGGAGATGGAAATCGCAAAAATAATCGAAAAAAATCATTTCCTCGATTATTACGGCGCGTGTCATTTTCAACTATTTGAAGGATCATTGAACACCTCATAACCAATACGTACACACAGAAAAATATCTGTGCCAACCCGTAGGGGAGATGGAAATCGAAAAAATAATCGAAAAAATGCATTTTCTCAATTATGACGGCGCGTGTCATCTTCAACTATTCGAGAGATCATTCTCCACCTCATCACCGAGACGTACACACAGAAAAATATCTGTGCCAACCCGTAGGGGAGATGGAAATCGCAAAATAATCGAAAAAAATCATTTTCTCAATTATAACGGCGCGTGTCATCTTGAACTATTCGAGAGATCATTCAACACCTCATCACCGATACGTACACATAGAAAAATATCTGTGCCAACCCGTAGGGGAGATGGAAATCGTAAAATAATCGAAAAAAATCATTTTCTCAATTATAACGGCGCGTGTCATCTTGAACTATTCGAGAGATCATTCAACACCTCATCACCGATACGTACACATAGAAAAATATCTGTGCCAACCCGTAGGGGAGATGGAAATCGCAAAAATAATAGAAAAAAATCATTTTCTCAATTATTACGGCGCGTGTCATCTTCAACTATTTGAAGGATCATTAAACACCTCATAACCAATACGTACACACAGAAAAATATCTGTGCCAACCCGTAGGGGAGATGGAAATCGCAAAAATAATCGAAAAAATTCATTTACTCAATTATTACGGCGCGTGTCATCTTGAACTATTCGAGAGATGATTCAACACCTCATCACCGATACGTACACATAGAAAAATATCTGTGCCAACCCGTAGGGGAGATGGAAATCGCAAAAATAATCGAAAAAAATAATTTCCTCAATTGTAACGGCTCGTGTCATCTTGAACTATTCGAGAGATCATCCAACACCTCATCACCGATACGTACACACAGAAAAATATCTGTTCCAACTTGTAGGGGAGATGGACATCGCAAAAATAATCGAAAAAAATCATTTCCTCGATTATTACGGCGCGTGTCATCTTCAACTATTTGAAGGATCATTAAACACCTCATCACCGATACGTACACACAGAAAAATATCTGTGCCAACCCGTAGGGGAGATGGAAATCGCAAAAATAATCGAAAAAAATCATTTTCTCAATTATAACGGCGCGTGTCATCTTGAACTATTCGAGCGATCATTCAACACCTCATCACCGATACGTACACATAGAAAAATATCTGTGCCAACCCGTAGGGGAGATGGAAATCGCAAAATTAATAGAAAAAAATCATTTTCTCAATTATTACGGCGCGTGTCATCTTCAACTATTTGAAGGATCATTAAACACCTCATAACCAATACGTACACACAGAAAAATATCTGTGCCAACCCGTAGGGGAGATGGAAATCGCAAAAATAATAGAAAAAAACCATTTTCTCAATTATTACGGCGCGTGTCATCTTGAACTATTCGAGAGATGATTCAACACCTCAAAACCAATACGTACACACAGAAAAATATCTGTGCCAACCCGTAGGGGAGATGGAAATCGCAAAAATTAACGAAAAAATTCATTTTCTCAATTATTACGGCGCGTGTCATCTTGAACTATTCGAGAGATCATTCAACACCTCATCGCCGATACGTACACACAGAAAAATATCTATGCCAACCCGTAGGGGAGATGGAAATCGCAAAAATAATAGAAAAAAATCATTTTCTCAATTATTACGGCGCGTGTCATCTTGAACTATTCGAGAGATGATTCAACACCTCATCACCGATACGTACACATAGAAAAATATCTGTGCCAACCCGTAGGGGAGATGGAAATCGCAAAAATAATAGAAAAAAATCATTTTCTCAATTATTACGGCGCGTGTCATCTTCAACTATTCGAGAGATCATTCAACACCTCATAACCAATACGTACACACAGAAAAATATCTGTGCCAACCCGTAGGGGAGATGGAAATCGCAAAAATAATAGAAAAAAATCATTTTCTCAATTATTACGGCGCGTGTCAACTTGAACTATTCGAGAGATGATTCAACACCTCATCACCGATACGTACACATAGAAAAATATCTGTGCCAACCCGTAGGGGAGATGGAAATCGCAAAAATAATAGAAAAAAATCATTTTCTCAATTATTACGGCGCGTGTCATCTTCAACTATTTGAAGGATCATTAAACACCTCATAACCAATACGTACACACAGAAAAATATCTGTGCCAATCCGTAGGGGAAATGGAAATCGCAAAAATCATCGAAAAAATTCATTTTCTCAATTATTACGGCGCGTGTCATCTTCAACTATTCGAAGGATCATTAAACACCTCATCACCGATACGTACACACAGAAAAATATCTGTGCCAACCCGTAGGGGAGATGGAAATCGCAAAAATAATCGAAAAAAATCATTTTCTCAATTATAACGGCGCGTGTCATCTTGAACTATTCGAGAGATCATTCAACACCTCATCACCGATACGTACACACAGAAAAATATCTGTGCCAACCCGTAGGGGAGATGGAAATCGCAAAAATAATAGAAAAAAATCATTTTCTCAATTATTACGGCGCGTGTCATCTTGAACTATTCGAGAGATGATTCAACACCTCATCACCGATACGTACACATAGAAAAATATCTGTGCCAACCCGTAGGGGAGATGGAAATCGCAAAAATAATAGAAAAAAATCATTTTCTCAATTATTACGGCGCGTGTCATCTTGAACTATTCGAGAGATGATTCAACACCTCATAACCAATACGTACACACAGAAAAATATCTGTGCCAACCCGTAGGGGAGATGGAAATCGCAAAAATAAACGAAAAAATTCATTTTCTCAATTATTACGGCGCGTGTCATCTTGAACTATTCGAGAGATCATTCAACACCTCATCACCGATACGTACACACAGAAAAATATCTGTGCCAACCCGTAGGGGAGATGGAAATCGCAAAAATAATAGAAAAAAATCATTTTCTCAATTATTACGGCGCGTGTCATCTTGAACTATTCGAGAGATGATTCAACACCTCATCACCGATACGTACACACAGAAAAATATCTGTGCCTACTCGTAGGGGAGATAGAAATCGCAAAAATAATCGAAAAAAATCATTTCCTCGATTATTACGGCGCGTGTCATCTTCAACTATTTGAAGGATCATTGAACACCTCATAACCAATACGTACACACAGAAAAATATCTGTGCCTACTCGTAGGGGAGATAGAAATCGCAAAAATAATCGAAAAAAATCATTTCCTCGATTATTACGGCGCGTGTCATCTTCAACTATTTGAAGGATCATTAAACACCTCATAACCAATACGTACACACAGAAAAATATCTGTGCCTACTCGAAGGGGAGATAGAAATCGCAAAAATAATCGAAAA